CACACATCTGGCCTGTACCCTGGTTCTTGTAATCATAAATAAATAAATCTTTTTTAAAAAAATAGGAGAGGGGCCTCCCCGATAGCACAGCGGTTGAGGGCTGGGTTGCAAAGCTGCCCGCAGCCTCTGCAGCACCGGTTCGATCCCCGGCTGCTCCCCGGCCACTGGAGGAGGGTCCCACATGGCGCACAGACCTCCCCTGCCGTCCGCTGCTCCCCTCAGCAGTGTACTTCGGTCCTTCTGCCTGCTCTGCTCCCAGCTCTGACTCTGGTGAATTCTCTCACCCTTCCGCGCTTCTGACTATACCCAGTGCTTGTATAAATAAATAAACAACAACAAAAAAACAAGAGTTCTCCTTAAAAAAAAAAAAAAAAAAGGAGAGAACTTAAAAAAAAATAAAATAAAATAAAAAATAAGCAGAAAACTAAGAATCAGGGGGATGAAATTACTAATCCTAAAATAATAGGGTGTAATTGCAAATCCTGAGATTTTTAACTAGTCCTTCAGATTCCAAAAGGAACACATTTTTCAAAAAAGTAATGAGCTGGGGCCTCCCTGGTGATGCAGAGGTTAAAGTCACAGCACTATCAAGCTATCACCAACAATTGTTACAAGAGTTCAATCCCAGACCAGGGAGGTGACCCACATGGTGCAGCAGATCTCTCCTGTCTCTCCCGCTGCTCCCCTTTGCAGTGTATTTCAGTAGATCTGCCTATTATGCTCTCCACTCTGTCTCTGGTGAATTCTCTCACCCCCCCCATACCTCTGGCCTACACCCCACTTCTTGTATGCATAAATAAAAATAAATCTTAAAAAAAGAGAAAGTAATGAGCTGTATTAATTGTTAGCACCAGGGGGAGATTATTATTTAAGAAAACCCAACAGGATTGGAAGTTCAGTGGGGATAGAATATAAGGTGGATAAATAGGAGGAAGGCTCTAGATATCTGTCTGTTGGGAGGAAATTTACTGAGTACTGAGTTACATAAGATGACAGAGCATATTGGGTGATGTTGGCCTAATTTTCAAGGGAAATGCCAGAAGCACAGATGGAGAACCTGCCCAATCATGAAGACCTTTATAAAATGTGTCAACAGAACTAGGGAAGTCATATTTGGTGTACATCTGACCTTGACTTAGACTCAGTGCAACCCCAGCCCCCTCAGGGTCTCTAACCTTTTCTCAGATTGAAGAAACACCACCATCTCTTTTCTTCCTTTCAGAATTTGGCACCAAGGTGAACACAACAGTTCTGAAGACCTTTGTGCTACACTCACTCATTCAGGAAAATGGACCTGGAAGAATGTTTCTTGTAACACATCTTTGAGATTCATTTGCAAGATGATGAAGCAATACTTATAATGGAAACATACTCCATGAAAATGTTTGAATTGGCATCCGCCATTATAAAGATAGTTCATTTGAGGCCCTCCCCGGTGGCGCAGTGGTTGTGCGCTGGGTTGCGAAGCTGCCCACAGCCTCTGCAGTGCTGGTTTGATCCCCAGCTGCTCCCCGGCCACCAGAGGAGGGTCCCACATGGCGCGCAGACCTCTCCTGCCGCCCGCTGCTCCCCTCAGCAGTGCACTTCGGTCCTTCTGCCTGCTCTGCTCCCAGCTCTGGCTCTGGTGAATTCTCTCACCTTCCTGCACTTCTGACTGTACCCAGAGCTTGTATAAATAAATAAATAAATCTTAAAAAAAAAATAAAGATAGGTAATTTATTTCTTATATTATTCACTCTTAGAATAAACACTTACTGAGCATTTTCCTTGTACTAGAGCTGTGTTGGAGAGCCCTTTGCAGACAAATTGAGGGGGCATGAGCTTTTTTTTTTTTTAAATTTTTTGCCAACATGTCAAAAAGAGCCTTTATTCCTTTTATAATATCCTCATGTTTTCCTGCCAGATGTCTTTGGAGCAGGTGATTTCTATACTGGACCTTTCTGACCCGGTTCTTCAGTGACAAGTCTGAACTCTCATAAAATCTTGTCTAAGGAACTAGGTACTTTTTAATGAGCTGAATTTTGCCCTCTCAAACACTTCTGTTGAAATCTTAACTCCCAATACTTCAGAATGTGGCTGTAGATAAAGATACAGGACCATTAAAGATGTGATTTCATGCTTCCCTAGTGGCACAAGGGGTTGACCTCAGCGCTGTGAGGCTGTCAGCAGTCTCTGCAGCATGAGTTTGATCCCCTCCCCACCCTAGGGAACTACCCACATGGCGCAGCAGACCTCTCCTGTCTTGCCTGCTGCTCCCCTCCGCAGTGTACTTCAGTAGATCCACCGATTCTGTTCCCCAGTCTCTGGTGAATTCTCTCAACCCCCCCACACCTCTGGCCTGTACCTGTTCTTGTATGCATAAATAAATCTTTGAAAAGCCCACTTTAGGGCCTCCCCGGTGGCGCAGCGGTTGAGCGCTGGGTTGCGAAGCTCCCTGCAGTCTCTGTGGCACCAGTTCTATCCCCAGCTGCTCCCCAGCCACCGGAGGAGGGTCCCACAGGCCACAGGAGGAGGGTCCCACATGGCGCAGACCTCTCCTGCCGCCCGCTGCTCCCCTCAGCAGTGTACTTCGGTCCTTCTGCCTGTTCTGCTCCCCGCTCTGGCTCTGGTGAATTCTCTCACCCTCCCGCGCTTCTGACTACCCAGTGCACGTATAAACAAACAAACAAATAAATAAACAAACAAATAAATACATGCCTCTTAAAAAAAAAAAAAGAAAAGCCCACTTTAAATTTTGACTTATAGGGCCTCACTGGTGGTGCAAGGGGTTAAGACAGCTTATGAAGTTGTCCGCAGCCATTGCACCATGAGTTTGATCCCCGGCCAGCCAGGCAGGTGACCCACATGGCACAGCATACCTGTCTTGCCCGCTGCTTCCCTCAGCAGTATATTTCAGTAGATCTGCCTGTTCTGTTCCCCACTCTGTCTCTGGTGAATCCTCTCAATCCCCACACCTCTGCCTTGTACCCCAGCTCTTGTATGCATAAATAAATCTTTAAAAAAAATAAATTTTAAGTTATGTGCAATTCAGAGCTCTTCCTTTTTGGTGGCAGACAAGGGTTGTTTGGGTCCTTACTAGTGAATGACCATCTTCCCTCTCTAAAAATGGTCTGAGTCTTGCTTATTTCATGGGTCATATTTATTGGAGAGCCCCCTGGGCATCTCCCCTTGTCTGGTCTTTTGTCATAGAAATAGACCTAAGACACAAACTTTTGCTCCTTCACTTCCCACAAACTTTGTTTTTGAGAATCTCACCTAGTTCCTTCTGAGTGGACAGTCAGTAGCTGCTGACAAGGTGATTTGGGGTTCCAGCCACTTCCTGAACTTTACTTGCCTCAACAAATAGCAATATTATCTCAACATCTGACCCACATTATCCTCATGGCTACCTCCTTTTCTCAGTCATCATTTATATTAGGCCTGGGCAAATCAGGCTGTCCACCAGTTCAAACTAGAGAAGACCACCAGCTCCCAGCTTTATGAGGCCACAGAAAATGAAGTGGTCACGCCAGTCGCTGTAGGAAGATGAAATCCGTGTTAAACATCCTTCCCTTTCTCCACTAAAATGCAGTAGAGGGCCTCCCCGGTGGCGCAGCGGTTGAGCGCTGGGTTGCGAAGCTGCCGGCGACCTCTGCGGCGCAGCGGTTCGATCCCCAGCTGCTCCCCGGCCACCGGAGGAGGGTCCCACATGGCGCACAGACCTCTCCTGCCGCCCGCTGCTCCCCTCAGCAGTGTACTTCGGTCCTTCTGCCTGCTCTGCTCCCCGCTCTGGCTCTGGTGAATTCTCTCACCCTCCCGCGCTTCTGACTGTACCCAGTGCATGTACAAACCAAACAAAAAAAAACAAACAAATAAATAAAAAAAAAAAAAAAAATGCAGTAGAGACAGGATTTTCAAAAACCTCTGTTCCCAAATGTTTTGTCCTATCCTATCTCTGATCTCCTTTAACAGAGGACCATATGTCCTCATGTCTGCCCTCATTAAATGGTGCCCTCAGCTAACTGCAGGGAGGAACAGCTGGGGTACCTCAGAAAAGAAATGTGAGTCCTGGTAACCAGGACACAGGAGAGATCTCAGTTAGCACTTTATTAGCAAGTTGCACACATTTCCTTCCAAAGTTATGACTAGATGTTCACATCTTGGGGAGGGGGGAAGGGTTGCTTCTTAAGATAACTTATCCCAAATCAAGACTGCGGTACTAGCATAAGAACAACTATATAGATCAAGTATATAGTATGCCACTTATATTTCAAAAAGGCTGTTATCAAAAAACTTTTTTTTTAAAATATACTTTTTTTTTATTTGTTTATTTTTTTTTATTTTATTTATACAAGCACTAGGTACAGTCAGAAGCGCGGGAGGGTGAGAGAATTCACCAGAGCCAGAGCAGGGAGCAGAGCAGGCAGAAGGACCGAAGTACACTGCTGAGGGGAGCAGCGGGCGGCAGGAGAGGTCTGCGTGCCATGTGGGACCCTCCTCTGGTGGCCGGGGAGCAGCCGGGGATTGAACCGGCACTGCAGAGGCTGCGGGCAGCTTCGTAACCCAGCGCTCAATCGCTGCGCCACCAGGGGAGGCCCTCAAAAAACTTTCTTAAAGATGACAAAAAGAGGGCCTCCCGGGCAGCTCAACCTATGAGGCTGTTCATAGCCACTGCAGCAAGAGTTGGATCTCCGGCCAGGGAACTACCCACATGGTGCAGCAAACCTCTCCTGCCTCCCCTGCTGCTCCCCTCAGCAGTGTATTTCAGTCAATCCAAATCCTGTAAAGTTTCTTCCCAATAGAACAATGTCATAAAATATTAGAATGTCAGATACTTATATATTAATGTGACGAGGATAAGACTTATGGTTCGTTGACTACACAGTTAGCAAAAACAAGTTAAATGAACAAGTTTCTTAAAGACATCTCATTTTTAATAAGACTTTTTAATACACACATTTGTTTGCTCCTGAAAATTGAAATTGCAAATCAAAAACCATTACAATTCAAATTTTTGAAAACCAGGAACTCAAAAAAAAAAACCAAAACCAAAAAACCACAAAACAAAAATACAAACCAGGAATTCTAGGTAGAACCTCTTACCCTAATTATATCCTAGCCAAAACACCAAATAATTGTTTTTATTGACTCAGACCTTCTAAAATACTCAAGCAACTGTAGTGCTTCTTTGAGTGAGATTTAAAAAAAAGAACTGGAACTAAAGTATATTTGAAGTCACTAAATGCAAGCTGTTAAGATTCCTTTTAAGTTACTGGAATCAAGTTAGATGCAAGAAAAAAAGACATCATAGAACTTCTATCACAGGTTAACAAAATACTGGCATATAGTCCATCAGAGCATAAGTAATGTTCCCAAACTGCTGCATAATGATCCTAAAATAATCATCAAGAAAAAGCAGTACAATTAAATGTGATTAGGACTAAATTGAATCAGTGTCAGAATTCTTCTCCATGGTTGTCTTCTCCTCGGGAAACTCTCTGTGATATAGGCAATAATGACAGCTACACTGAAATTTTTTTATCCTTTTTTCAATCTGAAAAAAAAAAAAAAAAAAGAATTGGGTCAATAATTTAATGAAATGGATCATACCTTCAAGGAGATATAACAGCCCTCAATGCTAATGTTGGTTATTAAACCAACTAAAAAAAGGGCAAAACCAAAACATTTTTCTGGGGTGGAGCGGGCAGGGAGAGGAAAATTATAGTATTATAATATTCGGGGTGGGGAGGGGAGTCGGGGGGATGACCTCCCTGATGGTACAAGGTGTTAAGATGCAGTACTATGAGGTTACCCGCAGCCATTGCAGCACGAGTTGAGGGGATCTCTGGCAGCTCCAGAGGTGTGGGGGGTTGAGAGGATTCACCAGAAACAGTCAGGAACAGAGAAGGCAGACTGACTGAAATACATTGCTGAGGGGAGCAGCAGTGAGACAGGAGAGGTCTGCTGCGCCATGTGGGTCAGCTACCTGGCCGGCCGGAGGATTGAACTTGTGCTGCAGAGGCTACAGACAGCTTCATAGGTTGTATCTTAACCCCTTATGCCAACAGGGAGGCCCATAAATTAATCCTTTTTTTTTTAAAAAAAAAGAAAATGTTAATCAACATTACTTTGTTTAAAATACATGGGTATCAAAGAATGCCAGATTGTGTTATTTTTGTAATAGCAACAGTGGCTGATTATCAATAAAAATGTATTTTAGGGCCTCCCCTGGTGGCACAGCGCTTGAGCTCTGGGCTACGAAGCTGCCCGCAGCCTCTGCAGCGCCGGTTCGATCCCCGACTGCCAGTGAGGGTCCCACGTGGCGCGCAGACCTCTCCTGCAGCGCCTGCTACTCCCCTCAGCAGTGTATTTCGTCTGTCTACCTGTTCTGCTCCCCGCTCTGGCTCTGGTGAATTTCCTCACCCTCCTGCGCTTCTGACTGTACCCCAGTGCTTGTATAAATAAATCAATAAATCTTAAAAAAAATTAATCTTAAAAAAAAATGCATTTTAGTGTCATTTCCCTGAATGTCATAATCAGGAGTTGACTCATTCAGCTGCTGGCCACTCTGTTCAGGTGTTTGTCCTCTTTCTAATAGTATCATGAAGATTGTGTTTGTTATAGCACATGAAAAAGTCCAAACACAAACAAGACAACCTTAATGGAAACTACAAATTTCCAGGTGAGGGTGTGTCAATGTAAGTCACCAACTGGAACTAACACTCTGGTGTGGGATGCTAATTAGTGGGAGGGTGGAGTGTGTAGGGTGGGGGAATATAGGGGAACCCTGCACTCAATTTCCCCAATTTTGTTGTGAATCTAAAAAAGCAGTTTAACAAACTGACTTAACTCCAGAGATCCAGCAAGTCCAAGCCCTCTCCTCTCCAAAAGTATCGACCAAACAAAAGGAAAACAAACCTGACACCAACCCACGAGTGTAGTCAAAAAAATGTTTTATTTACCTCCATTTCCTTCCTCCGTATTTCTTCCTGCAGCTTCATGGAAAGAAAAATAAAATATTGAGAACAATTAAGAAAGAGTTAAAATACTAATATTACACCTCTAGTACTTGAGAGGAGTTGGAGAATCTTCAAAATGCCTGCCCACACCAACTTACCAGAGAAAATCGGTTAAGATATTGGTATCTGATTTTTACCATCCTTTCCCTCAGTTCTTTCCTCACAGACAGCAGTGTCCTTACTCCCCGCCTCTTGTAGGGTGTGCCCTGTAGGGTATTTTCTTGATTCTGCTGTTGGGATGGATATTCTGGTAGAGGGGATGGAAGTGTGATATTAGGGTTGAGAGTCAAGTTACTGAGATTCTTTATTAATCCTTCTGAGACGGGTTGAGAAGTAGCTGAAAGAAAAGTGAAAATGAAGATCCATTAAGGGGGATTGTATTTTGCAGAAGTTACCCCCCTCATATTTGGTCAGTCTGCTCTCAAGCCAGAGAACCACAACGGGTTCTTCTTTAGGTGCCAGATCATTTATATGACAGCATGAACCTCACCTACTGTGCTCCCAAAAGCCACTATGATGGCTAATGGTCCACTGTCCAAAAAAACAAACAAAACCTCTTCTTGTAATCACTTGCTTCAATATTAGAGATTCCCCCACCACCTCCTGGTCAAAGGTACCGGGGAGTAGAGTATGTACCAAATGGGAAAACAATGGGCAGAAAATTTGAGGACATAAAGCATTACAATACAAGTCAAAATGTTCTGGTGAACAAATTTTAGTTTATCTTTATGACAATTATAAACAGACCGGTTAGTTTCTTTTGCAGGGGGGCAGGAGGGCGACAAAAAACATCAACAACGCAGCCTATGACAAAGAAAGAAAAAAACTCAAAATTCAAGTCTCCCCCCAAAGTTGCATTGGTAAGCAGAACTAGGACAGGAAGAAGTTATCATCCTCTGCAGCTAAACTGAGCTTTTTCATGGTATCAGATCTTTCTGTTCAAACTCAGTATTTTTGGAAATCGAACACTCACTTTTGCCTCTTCCTATCCCAACTATTATGCATAAACACACACCTCCTACACTAAGACAGTTAACATTAATTTTTTCCCTGTGTGTGAAAGTATTCAATTAAGTCAGTATCCATTCAGCTTCTAGGACTTTGATCCCTGGTTGTGGAATCGTCAGACACATCAAAGGAAAAGCACAAAAACCTTGGACACACCCAAGGTTTATTATAAAAATATTCTCTTCATTAATTCCCTCCACCTTCATTCTCTTTTATCTATCGACCAGGGTTCCTTCCTCAACCTGCCTGTACTGTGGCCGATGGGATGCAATGCAGCTGACGCAGCTTCACAGCCTTCCACTGGGTAGTTGGGGCTGTGGGCTCCAGACCACCCAAGCAGCACCCTACACCACCCAACCCTGCCATTAACCAGGGGTTCAAACATGGCGATTGGTTCAGAGCAAACCCCAAACTGGCTTAGACTCTAAGAAATCCACAGAACCGAGGCAATATTTTTGGCGCGCATTTTCTAAAAAAAAGCAGCCCTCCAGCTTACACCCTGCAAATTTACATTATAGAGAACATTCACTGGCTTTTATGAAACTACCCCCCCCCTTCCTTCAATTTCCTCTGAAGAGCCATTTCCCCATTTATTAACATTCCTAAAGGGTAAATTTCGCTGAAAAGCCACCCCCCAGAAGTTGGGCGAGATTAAGAAAGCCTTTAGGTGAAATTGAACTTCAGATCTCTTGTCTTTTGTCCCTTTCTAACTTTCTTGGTGGATAGGGGAAAAACTGATCGCAGATGCTCTGAGCCAAGTTCTGGGGGGAATTTCAGTTGCTTTCTCCCACAAACTGGATTTAAGAGATCCAAGTATTCCCGAGCATAGTAAGCAAATAATACAATCCCCCACCCCTCGTTTTTCCCCCTTATCGATTGAGAAATCATTTTATTTTTAATTGGAAGGACCAACAAGTCCTGGCCCTTCTTTTCTTGCTTTTTACAAGACTGAAGTCAAAAATATAAAAAAGCAAGCATTAAAAGGAAAAAAAAAAGACTGCCATCAATATAAGAAAGGAAGGGAGCCTCTTCACTCTTCCCGAACCCCTAGTCAAGGAGGCACCCTCTAGCTTACCTGAATCTTCCTGGGAACTGTCTTCAGTGCACATCTGAAAAGACTCAGGGCTCAAGGTTGGGTTCAAACTCTTTGAGGAGTCCATTGGAAGTCTGGTCACAGCTTGAAGCTCCTCCAAGATCTTTGGGTTTGGGCGGAAGGTGATGTTCAAATTACAGGTCAGACCCTGGAAAAACAACTAGAGAGTCCAGAAAAGAAAAAAACCTGAGCTCCAACAAAGCGTGGTGAAGAAAGGAATTAACATCAAAATTTCCGTCCTGTCCTCCAGAACTCCAGAAAAGCCAATCTGCCGCCTATTTTAATGTAAATGACTAATGATTAAAGGGATTAAGGTGAGTGGGCGTAGACCTATCCGTGAATTAATAGGCTAACTCCTCATCTGCTCTGCATTAAAATAATCAAGACTTCGTCAAGTCCATTGGAAAAATTTATGAAGCACGCCTCAAGGATTGTGTCTTCATAAGGTTACCTTAAAATTCCATTTCCCCCCAAACTCTATGTGTGGAGATGGATAATGATTTGTGAACTGCGCTTTAGGTGTTTTAGAGCAGTGAGGGTGCTCCCCCAAATTCAGATGAATTTCCAATTACCTGAGAAAGTTTCCCTGCTTTACTTTGTGAACTAGTAAAAACAGGAGACATAAAGCGCTAGCAACAGTTTAATAGCTTGATACACTTAAGGATGTGTATTTTGCAGCTGTAGTTTTAGTTTGTTTTATAGACTGTCTATTTAATTGCATTTAACATTTGGGAGTAACTGAAAGCTAAGTTTATACACTGCTACCTTCAGATATCTCAGTATCTCAGTCAGATACTTGAATGAATTCTAGCAAAGAGCCAGACATTAACTGCTGATTATCTGCAGGAGGTGGGAGAACCTGTCTCCAACCGCCCCACCCTTTGTTTTACCCATCTCCTATTCAATGCCCAATCTCCCCCATTCTCCCTTTAGTTGGAAACTAGGAAGAAGTACTCCAAAGCAATCTTGTTTTACTTTTAGTAAAAAAGCAAAAACAGAAGTATTGGTAGGGGGTGAGGAGAAGCCATAAATCTTTGCCCTGTTACAACACTTTATTCCATTGGTTCTCAAAGGTATGGCCTCCAAGCAGCATCTGTAGCATCTGGGAACTAGTTAGATAAGAAAAAAATGTGTGGAACTCCAAACAAGACCCACAGAATCAAAGACCCGGGGTCCTGCCATCCTGTGTAAACAAACTTCCCAGGTGATTCAGATCCAGGCTGAGATTGAAGAAGCCTGGCTTGGAGGCACACTTAACTTCTTCCTCCTGCCCTGGGAGCCTTTCCTGGAGCAGACCCTGAGAATTCCATTATGAAAGGCCAGGGCAGGACCTCCCCAGTGGCGCAGCGGTTAAGCGCTGGGTTGCGAAGCTGCCCGCAGCCTCTGCAGGACCAGTTCGATCCCCGGCCGCGTGGCGAGGGTCCCACATGGCGCACATACCTCTGCCGCCCGCTGCTCCCCCCAGCAGGGTACCTCGGTTCCTCTGCCTGTTCTGCTCCCCACTCTGGCTCTAGTGAATTCTCTCACCCTCCCGCACTTCTGACTGTACCCAGTGCTTCTATAAATAAATAAATCTTTAAAAAGAAAGGCTAGGGCAAAAACCAGATTGCAACGAGACACAGACTCTCATTCAAGAAACCGGGTTGAGCGCAGCGCTGGGAAGCTGTCTGCAGCCTCTCTGCAGCATGGGTTCAATTCACCGTTGGCCAGGGAGATGCCCACATGGCACAGTAGACCTCTCCTGTCTTGCCTGCTGCTCCCCTCAACAGTATATACTTCAGTCCGTCTGCCTGTTCTGCTCCCCGCTCTGTCTCTGGTGAATTCTCTCCCCCTCCCGTGCCTCTGGCCTGTACCCTAGTTCTTGTGTAAAAATAAATAAATCTTTAAAAACAAAACAAGAAACCAGGGCTTAAGAAAGAAAAGTGAGGAATTTAACTTGCAGAAGTTGAGCCCCAAACTAGAGAAAGTGAAAATACTGAGAGAATTGAGAAAGCATAATCCCTAAATATGTTCAAAAGATAAGATTAAAAATCTAAAAATAATTTCACGCTTTTTATGATATATATGCTTTATATGATATGGAGTATGAGATTAAAAGCCAAACAGAATGAAGGAACTTGAAAAAACAGACTAAAAGATTAAGTTTAGAAAACTACTATTAATTTCTTCAAAGGTAAGAAATGATATATTACTTGTATACAGGATGCGCTTGAAACAGTGGAAACTCAGCCAAAAAAAAAAAAAAAAAAGAGTACCTGGAAATTGGGCCTCCCTGGTGGTCCAAGGGGTTAAGTCTCAGCACTATCAAGCTATCTCCAGCCACTGCACCACAAGTTCAATCCCCATCCAGGGAGCTGACCCAAATGGGCAGCAGACCTCTCCTGTCTCGCCCACTGCTCCCCTCAGCAGTGTATTTCAGTAGATCTGCCTGTTCTGGTCCCCACTGTCTTGTGAATATCCACATCCCCCCTCCCCCCAACCTCTGGCCTGCATCCCAGTTCTTATATGCATACATGAATAAAGATAAGTCTTAAAAAAAAAAACAAACTTGTAAATTCTGCCACTAGTTTTGAAACAACAAAAATAAACTTGGAGCTTCTAAATCTCAACAGAAGTCATACAGTTTAGTTCAAAGAGTAAATGTCAGGAAGGACATCTTTTTAATGACCTTTTGAATACTTTCAAGAATTTGTTATCTAAGAATGCAAGTCTTACAAACATTGGTATCCACATCAATAAACTGACCTTACCAGTTCTTATCAGCTGCAAATTATACCTTTGCAGGAAAGGAAAACTATCTTGCTTTCTTTACTCTAGGCTAGAGGTTAAGGATTAGTCTTTTAGATAAGACAATTTAGACATTGAAGCATTTATTTTTTTTTAATCCTTGCCTTTGGGGAAAATCAAGAAAATAGGCTATTCTGATTACAAACATCTTCTGAGCATATCAGTTTATAGAATAAAGCTAGCAATTTCCCTTGTTGTTGTTGTTGCTTTTGGCTTTTCACTATTTATGAAAAATATTCACATTCCTGATCTCCCCTTCAGAAGTTCCTTGAGACTATGTTTGGGTCTTGGCCAGTCCATCTGACAAGCCCATCATGCTAATGGCCCTGCAGCCCTGGTAGGTTTTAAACTGGCCTTTGAGCCTGCCTGTCACCTTGTCAATATCCTCCACTCCTCGTCCTTCTGGATGGTCCCCTGGTCCTGAGTGTGGATCACGTGGTTGGTTGCTGGAGAAGCGTTTCCTCCGCTTGTTCAGGTCCACCAAATCACTTCTAGCCTTCTTCAAAGTGAGGATGCCCCAGCTGCCCCCACCACGAGCAGAGAGACTGCTTCTTTGAGAAGAATGAAAGGGCTTCGTTTTTAAATTCACCTTAATTCTCCAAGAGAAACATGAAAATGCCAAGTCATCCTGGTCAATGATTCTCAGACTGTGACTTAAAATAAAACAATAGCATTTTGGGGCCTCCCTGGTGGCACAAAGGGTTAAGACAATACCTATGAAGCTGTCCGCAGCCGCTGCAACGTGAGTTCAATCCCTGGCCAGGGAGCTAACCACATGGCTCAGCAGACCTCCCCTCTCTGGGCTGCTGCTCCCCTCAGCAGTATATTTCAATCAATCTGCTGTTCTGCTCCCCACTATGTCTCTGGTGAATACTCTTACCCCACCCCCCACCTCTGGCCTGTACCCCAGGCCTTGTATGCATAAAGAAATAAATATTAAAAAAAAAAAAAGAGTATTAATGAAAAAAACACTACCATTTAATCTCACCATCATTTCATGAAATATATATTAGGGTCCTCCCTGGTGGTGCGAGCGGTTCAAGTGTCAGCACTATGAAGCTATCCGCAGCCTCTGCAGCATGAGTTCGATCCCTGACCAGGGAGGTGACCCACATGGGGATCGAAGATCTACTAACAGTACATCCCCCACCACATGCACCACACACCGCTTCACCAATACTGTTTTTGTCTTCTTAATCCATAAGAAAAAACGTATGATTGTTTTTCATTTAAATGTATTGCAGGGGCCTCCCTGGTGGCACAAGGGGTTAAGCACCGCACTATGAAACAATCCGCAGACTCTGCAGCACAAGTTCAATCCTCGGCTGGCCAGGGAGCTACCCACATGGCTAGGCAGACCTCTCTTTTCTTGCCTGCTGCTCCCTTCAGCATTGTATTGCAGTCAGTCTGCCTGTTCTGCTCCCCACTCTGTCTGTGGTGGATCCTTTCACCCCCTGCATCTCTGGCCTGTACCCCAGTTGTTGGATGCATAAATAAATAGACAGGCAAATAGATAAGGTGATTTAGATGATCTGATGGGTAGTAACTGAGATAGCTAAAACTCATAAAAAGCAACAGAGGGCTTTTTAATTTTATTTACAACTTGGAACAAATAATTTGCTTACCATTTGGACCTGACATGTGTATTTGTGGAAATCAGGTCTGTCTGGTATAGTCAAGAATCGGGCTTGGGGATAGGGGGTTTGGGGGTGGTGGGATGATTCACCAGAGACAGAGTGGGGAAGCAGAACAGGCAGATCTACTGAAATACACTGCTGAGGGGAGCAGTGGACGAGTTGAGTCAGGAGAGGTCTGCTCTGCCATGTGGGTGAGCTCCCTGGCCAGGCATTGAACTCATGCTGCATGCTGCAGTGGCTGCTGCTATCTTCATAGTGCTGAGACTTAAACCCTTTGCTACCAGGGAGGCCCTGTAGATGTTATTTTTTAACTTTGTTTTGTTTTGTTTTCAGTAGGAAGGTGATGTGAATGTCAATGTTGGGGAAGTTTAATTAGGGAAGTTTCATTATATGTTTGATGTTTCCTTAGTTGTTAATATACATTTTCCCAGTTCTTTACCTATGAATCTTTATTGCTAAGTCCTGGTACTTAGAACAGTTTTCTAGGCAGTAAATATCTGCTCACTGACCAGTAAAAGCACCCACATCACTCCATATATTGGTGATAACGGTATTATTTTGTATAATATTTCAAAATCTGCTTTTATTTGCCTAACAATATTCGTATGTAGGTTTCCATGCCATTAAATATTCTTGCACACATATGGCTGAGTGAATGTGATTTATGGATTTGCTATAACATCTTCACTATCATACTGTTTGTTTTCAAGTTTTTTCTGAGGAATCAACTAGTAATTTATAATAAAATGAATAAATTTATAATTTTTTTAAAGATTGATTTATTTATGCATACAAGAACCGGGGTACAGACCAGAGGCATGGGGGGGTGAGAGGATTCAGCAGAGACAGAGTAGGGACCAGAACAGGCAGATTGAAATACACTGCTGAGAGGAGCAACAGGCGAGCCAGGAGAGGTCTGTTGCACCATGTGGGTTGATCCCTGGCTGGGGATGGAACTCGTGCTGCAGTGACTGCCGATAGCTTCATAGGTTGCGTCTTAACCCCTTGCGCCACCAGGGAGACCCATCTTTTTTATGTTATTGAAATACCTTTGCATTATAATGTTATATAAGCTTCAGATGTGATTCACTTTTAGTTTACCACTAAATGTCCAGTTCTATCCTTTTCTATACCATTATCCCCTTTGTCCTGATTTACCCACCTCCTACCTCCTTTCCTCTGGTAACCACTAATTGATCTTATGGTACAGTTTATTTTTGTTTTATTTAGTTCATCTCTTTGCTTTCTCCATATGTCACACATGAGTGGAAACGTGGTGGGCTACCTAGGAATATCGGGAACGTTCTTAAATGCCAAGTTAAAGGGTTTGGCTTGTATCCTGCTGATGATGGAAAACTATTATATTATTATATATTAAATACAACATTTTGTTTTTCCTTTAGGGAAACAAGTTCTTGCAATGAAAGTAGTAAAAACATAAAGTTCTGGGACTTCCCTGGTGGTACAGGGGTGAAAGTCAAGCTATTGCCAGCCACTGTGGCTTGAGTTGGATCCCTGGCCAGGGAGCTGACCCACGTGATGCAGCAGACCTCTCCTGTCTCGCCCATTGCTCCCCTCAGCAGACTATTTCAATTAATCCACCTGTTCTGTTCCCCATTTTGTCTCTGGTGAATTCTCTCATCATCTGCACCTCTGGCCTACACCCTAGTTCTTGTATGCATAAATAAAGAATACATCTTTTTTTTTTTTTTTTTTTTTTTTTAAGAAAAAGAGGGAGATAAAGTCCCCATCCTCAAAAAGCTTGGAAATGATTTTGGTAACAGGCAAGCTAGCTCTTTTATAGCATTTTAAAAGCTTCTTGTAGTTTAGCCAAAAAACAAAACAAAATAAAACCAGAAATTGATATCTGTTGCCATACTTAAGCATTTCATTAACCTCCACACCCTTTTTCATGTAATTTCTTCACCCTTAAATGCCTGAGGATCTTACTGAAAAACATCCACTCAGACTCTGAAGTCAACTCCTAGTTGACTTCAACCATTTAGTAGGCTGTGTACAGAGCACTTTCAACACACCATCTTGTCAATTTACATGGCCAATTAAAAGATCAGTTCTTATTTTCAGTTGAGAAAAAAGTTTAAGGTTAAGTGACATGCCCAATGTTATATAGCTAATAAGTAAAGGAATCAGAATTAACCCAATCTGCCCACTTTTGATTTTAATCAGAAAAGACAAAGTGAAATGAACAAAATAACTTACTGGGAAAAGTTCTCCCTGGTTTGATTTCCTACATAGCTGTGCACACAGTTAAAAAAAAAAGAAATCTAACTATGTGTTTGTCTAATTAGACTTTGAATTATAAAACTCCTAATTATTCATTAACATGTGTTTATTACCTATCTCAGGGCTTTGCACATCATAGATGTTTAGCACAATTTGTTGAGTGAATAAAAGCCACTCTACTGCTGACATGGCTCAGAGTTTTTGAGAGTTAGCTCCAAGCATGGGTAATCATTGTTTTGTGGGGGTTTTTTGGTTTTTTTTTTTGTAATCATTGTTTTGTGAACTTTTTTCTCAAAGAGCAGAGCAAAGGAAGAGAAAAAAAATTCAACATCTTTTCACATCCAATCGCCTTTGAGGAGCTGGGAAGAGAGCAATTCACACTTGATTATCCTACATCAGATAAATTAACAGCACCTGAATTGCTGGGCAGTCAGGAGCTAGAGCTCCCTTCAGCGGGATTAGCCAGCTTTGTCTCAGCTCAGAGGCCATGCTTCTGTCCCAGACAGTCTTCCTTCTCTGCCTCCTGTTAACTCTGGCCTTGGTCCAGACGTCCCAGTTCCAAGAACATTTCCTTCAGTTTCTGGGCTTAGATAAGGTGCCTTCTCCCCAGAAATTTCAACCTGTGCCTTATTTCTTGAAGAAAATGTTTCAGGATCAAGAGGCAGCAGCCACCATTGGGGTTCCCCAAGACTTATGCTACGTAAAGGAACTGGGTGTCCGTGGGAATGTACTCCGACTTTTCCCTGATCAAGGTAAGGAAATTGTAGTATTTCTAAGAGAAAAATCTGGCAGAGGGTGGTGTGAAGAAAGGAAAGAAAGGGGAAGTAACCATTACTGAGGGGTTCCTAGAAGGCCCTGTGCTGGTCTTTTATATATTTTATCTCATTTAATCCAAGCACAAATATTGAGGTAGAAGACATATACTAGGATCAACTTTTTAACTTAAGGAAATTAAGGCTTAGACAGTAGATAACCTGTACTCTATTCAAGATCCTATAGATAGTGCTTGAAAAAAGTCAGGATTCCAAATAGATTCATTCTGAATCAACAGTTTTGTGTTTACAATTTAGGTGGAAGCATTGAGGGTGGAATTAGGCCTCAGTCTCCATGTCCTAAAGACATGGCAAGCAAGGGACAAAAATATTGAGTTAGGTTTATAAATCCTGCTTTGTTTCTCTATACCTCCTCACTATTTTTGGATGGAAAGGTTATTCTTGATTTGTGAATACTGATCCATGATATATGCCTTTCTCATCCTTTACATAAGCATCTGTCTGAGTGCCATTTAGTATACTCTGCCTAACTGACCAGCCACCAAAACTACCTAGGTGCCCGGTTTGAAGTAGATTCCCCAGTCCAGTTCCTGCCTGTCATTCTCCCACCCAATTCTTATTCAAAATTAGAGATGGGTGTTTAATCTGCATTTCTATACAGCCTTCCAGGTGGTTTGTAGGTGAAGTTGGAGAGCCCTTGTTAGTAGTTTTATGGCAACTGGAGATAAGATTTGAATTTGTCCAAGAAGTATTGATTGGATACCCCACTCTGTGCTGGGAACTATGTATGAGAATATAGAGATGATAGATAAATTTGCCCTATAAGAATTTATAGAGGGCCTCCCTAATGGCACAGGGGTTAAAGACACAGAGCTATCAAGCTATCACCAGCCACTACAGCATAAGTTCGAGCCTGGCCAGCCAGGGAGCTAACCCACATGGCCATAGCAGACCTCTTCTGTCATGCCCGTTGCTCCCCTCAGCAGTGTATTTAAGTAGATCTGCCTGTTCTGCTCCCCACTCTGTCTCTGGCGAATGAATCCTCTCACCCCAGTGCACCTCTGGCCTATACCCCAGTTCTTGTATGCATAAATAAATCTTAAAAAAAAAAAGAAAGAATATAGAAGGGGGAAAGACCAACTAATCACTTCCACACATAGTCTCAGTATTACTGGCTCAGGGCCTCTGTAGTGGTGGTGGGGAGTGGGGGTGAGGGTGAAGTTTCAGGGAAAATTCCGGGGTTTTTCATGGAAGGAGTAGAAAATAGCTGAGGATACAGTTTGGAGATTGAGCCCTCATTTATCCCTCTCCCATGGACAGAACAGATTTTTGTGGTGATCATAATCTCAAATGATACAGAGAAAGGGCTTAATCTTAGCATTTTCCCTCCCTAATGCTCCTCCTAAAGAAAACCACTAATAGTTGTATATTCTTCCACATTTTTCTCCTTTTAATATATGTATATAGGGCTTCCCTGGTGGCTCAGCGGTTGAGCGCTGGGTTGCGAAGCTGCCCGCGGCCTCTGCCGCGCCGGTTCGTTCCCCGGCTGCTCCCCGGCCACCGGAGGAGGGTCCCGCATGGCGCGCAGACCTCTTCTGCCGCCCGCTGCTCCCCTCAGCAGTGTACTTCGGTCCTTCTGCCTGCTCTGCTCCCTGCTCTGGCTCTGTTGAATTCTCTCACCCTCCTGCGCTTCTGACTGTACCCAGTGCATGTATAAACAAACAAACAAACAAATAAATAAATAAATAAAACATGCCTCTATTAAAAAAAAAAATATTAATATATGTAATATAAACTTGTAATATTATTTTATAAATGTGAATATTTTGTACTTTACATTCCTCTAGTATTATGAACATTTCTGTCAAGTCAGAACAAGCAGTCCACTTACCCCTTTTTTTTTTTTAAAGATTTATTTGTTTATGCATAAAGGAGCTGGAGTATAGGCCAGAGGTGTGGGGGGTGAAAGGATTCATTAGAGACAGAGTGGGGAACAGCACAGGCAGACTGACTGAAATACACTGCTGAGGGGAGTCAGGAGAGGTCAGCTGTGCCATGTGGGTTTCTCCCTGGCCCGCCGAGGCCGAGGGATGTGTGCTGCAGTGGCTGCGGACAGCTTCATTGGTTTCGTCTTAACCCTTTGCACCACCAGGGAGGCCCCAACTTACCCTTTTTTTAATGGTTGCCTGACATTCCATTGCGTGGACAGGAAATAATTTATGTAACTGATGCAATTAGATAGGTGTAGGTATCCACTATGTGTGTGAGTGTAATTCCTAGGATAAATTCTTAGAGATTCCTGTACCAAAGAGTAGCTACATTCATACTTTCAATATATAGCAAATGTCCTACAAAAGTTATATAGCCCACTGGGCCTCCCTGGTGGCACAAGGGGTTAAGCAACGCACTATGAAGCAATCTGCAGCCTCTGAAGTACCAGTTCAATCCCTGGCAGGCCAGGGAGAAACCCACATGGCCATAGCAGACCTCTCCTGTCTTGCCTGCTGCTCCCTTCAGTAGTGTGTTTCAGTCTGCCTGTTCTGTTCCCCGCTCTGTCTCTGGTGAATCCTCTCACCCCCTCCCCGCCCCCCAACCTCTGGCCTGACCCCAGCTCTTGTATGCATGAATAAATGAATCTTTAAAACAACAACAAAAAAGAAAACAAAAGTTATAGCCCACCATAAGTATGTGAGAATTCTCACTTTCCCACAATTTGACAATTTTAAAAACTAGATACTAGTTGAAATGTAACATACATTCTGAAAATGCATAAACCATAGAGAACAGCTCAATGAATTTTCAAGGAATAATCAGCATTCAGATCAAGAAACAGAACATGGGGCCTCTCTGGTGGAACAAAGTGTTAAGACACAACCTGTGAAGCTATCTGCAGCCACTGCAGTATGAGTTTGATTCCCAGCCAGGGAGCTACCCACATGGCGCAGCAAACCTCTCCTGTCTCACCCACTACTCCCCTTAACAGTGTACTTCGGTCAATCTGCCTGTTCTGTTCACCACTCTGCCTCTCACCCCCCACACCTCTGGCCTAGGAGGTGAATCCTCTCATCCCCCACACCTCTGGCCTGTACCCCAGCTCTTGTATGCATAAATAAATAAATCTTTAGAAAAAAAAAGTAAGAAACAGACCGTGACAGAACCCTAGAGGATTCCTCATGCCTCCTCTGGTTAATCCCTTTTCCTCTACTGGTCACCTTTATACTGACATCTCAGAACAATGGTTTATCTGCCCCAAATAAAATATTTTTCAAAACCCAGAAATCTATTAAATACTAAAATTCTTTTACAAAATTAAAAATATATATTTTAAAAATATTTTGTTTAGGGCCTCCCTGGTGGCGCAGCGGTTGAGCGCTGGGTTGCGAAGCTGCCAGCAGCCTCTGCAGTGCTGGTTCGATCCCCGGCTGCTCCCCAGCCAGCGGAGGAGGGTCCCACATGGCGTGCAGACCTCTCCTGCCGCCCACTGCTCCCCTCAGCAGTGTACTTCGGTCCTTCTGCCTGCTCTGCTCCCCGCTCTGGCTCTGGTGAATTCTCTCACCCTCCCACGCTTCTGACTCTACCCAGTACATGTATAAACAAAACAAACAAACAAATAAATAAAACATGCCTCTATTAATAAATAAATAAATAAATAAATAAATAAATATTTTGTTTAGTAAATTGTCTGTCTTAATTTAAGCAACAAATAATAAGATCTCGCAAAGGGACTAGAATTATAATTTCAAAGTAGTGTGAGCATAAATGCTGTTTTAAGATATTTTTCATTATCTAACATATGAACATTCCTGTGATTTTTATTGGTAACAATGCCACAGGCCCAGATAATATTGGAATTTGTTGCTGATAGTCATGATTAAAGGATATGCTCAATTTCATTTAAAAGAGTTTAGTGAAAATAAATCTTTTTCCCATCTAAGTTAATGGAGCTTCCAAAGTCTATTCAGGACTGCTTGGGGGTCCACAGGTGTAAAGATCAGGGTCTCTGGCCTTGAATGAAGAAAGAAATAATGGTCCCAAATGCTAAGCTTTGTGTATAAATGATAATTTCCTGCCCTTCCTTGTTTTGCATATGTGGCTATACATGTTACATTGGGCATTTATTTTTTATTTATTTTAAAAGCTTTTGTAAAAAGATTTTTATTCATTTATGCATACACGACCTGAGGTACAGGCCAGAAATGCAGAAGGGCAGAAGGAGGTGGTGAGAGGATTCACCAGAGACAGAGTGAGGAGCAGAACAGGCAGATTGACTGAAATACACTGCTAAGGGGAGCAGCAGGCCAGTCAAGAGAGGTCTGCCTCGCCATGTGATTTGCTCCCTGGCTGGGGTTGGAACTCGTGCTACAGAGGCTGTGGATTGCTTCATAGTGCTGTGCTTAACCCCTTGCACCACCAGGGAGGCCCACATTGGGCATTTAAATCATGCAGGTGGATAGGAAGTAAATATGTTACAATGACTCCTACATGTGTCTGTTTCTACCTAGGTTTCTTTCTGTACTCTAAACCTCCCCAAGTCTCCTCCTGCCTGCAGAAGCTCCTCTATTTTAACCTGTCAGCCATCGAAGAGAAGGAGCAGTTAACAGTGGCCCGGCTGGGCTTGGACTTGGGGCCCAACACCTACTACAACCTACACCCAGAGCTGGAGTTGGCTTTGTCCCTTGTCGGGGAGCCTCATGTGTGGGGTCCATCCATCCCACCATCAGGTCGAATGTTAATCCTGCAGTCAGTACCATGGCCTCAAGGCGCTCTTCACTTTAACCTGCTGAGTGTGCTTAAGAATTGGAAGAACAACTCCCTGAAGAACTTAGGTTTATTCCTGGAGATACTGATCAAGGGAAATCAAGGTTCAGAGAGGAATTTTCAGCATGACGACACCTGTTCTAGACTGAGAACTTCCCTGAATGCTCACCTGCTGATGGTAACCCTCAACCCTGAGCAGTGTCACCCTGCTTTCCGAAAAAAGAGAGCAGCCCCCTCTGTCCCTATGACTTCCTATAAGAATCTCTGCCATCGTCACCAGCTCTTCATCAACTTCCAGGACCTGGGCTGGGACAAGTGGATCATTGCCCCCAAGGGCTTCATGGCAAATTACTGTCACGGAAACTGTCCTTTCTCACTGACCACCTCCCTCAACAGTTCCAATTATGCTTTCATGCAAGCACTGATGCATGCAGTCGAACCAGATATCCCCCAGGCCGTCTGTATCCCCACCAAGCTGTCCCCCATTTCCATGCTCTACCAGGACAATGACGACAACGTCATTCTACGTCATTATGAAAACATGGTAGTGGATGAATGTGGCTGTGGATAGCTGTCAAAAATAGGAACAGGGTGTTTATAAAGTAAATCTTTAAATAATAAATCTTTTTATAACTGTTATGTCTGAAATATCAATACATTTGTGTTTATAGAGTTTTTCTTCCTTAAAAATCCATCATGATTGTACTAGACTCTAGATAGAGGAAAACTGACACTTATTAATGTCAGGCATTATTCTATGTGTTATTCATCAACATCATTTCACTGTCTTTTGAGGTAGGTGTTGTTACTTTTGTTTCATAGATAAAGAAGCTGAGCTTTAAAGAAAGCAAGTTACAGGGGCCTCCCCAGTGGTACAGGGGGTTGAGCGCTGCGCTGTGAAGCTGTCTGCAACCTCTGCAGCGCGGGTTTGATTCCAGGCCCGCCAGGGAGAAACCCACATGGCATGGTAAACCTCTCCTGCCTCACCTGCTGCCCCCCTCAACAGTGTCTTTAGTCCATCTGCCTGTTCTGCTCCCCACTCTGTCTCTGATGAATTCTCTCACCCTCCCACATCTGTGGCTGTACCCCAGTTCTTGTATAAATAAGTAATGAATCTTTAAAAAAAATAAAGAAAGCAAGTTACAAATTTTCCTAGTCATCAACTTTCCATGGCAGATCTCATGCTTAAGCACTCTTACTTTAAAAACAAACATATATATATATATACATGTATATATATATATATATAATATAGAAAAATACCAAAGGAGTTATGTGACTCATAATAGGAAAGAACAAGGATCTTTTGCTTTTATCAACTTTTTTTTTAAAGATTTGTTTATTTATGCATACAAGAACTGGGGTACAGGGCAGAGGTGGGGGGTATGTGAGAGGATTCACCAGAGACAGCAGGGAACAGAACAGGCATATTGACTGAAATACACTGCTGAGGGGAGCAGGAGGCGAGTCAGGAGAGGTCTGCTGCGCCATGTGGGTAGTTCCCTGGTGGGGATCAAACTCATGCTGCAGTGGCTGCAGACACCGTCATAGGTTGCGTCTTAACCCCTTAAGCCACCAGGGAGATCCATTTGAACAAAAATTTGTCACAAACCTTGCAACCCTTACCTTTGTCATATGGCAATAATATAAATTTATCTTTCTGAGAAAGATGCACACAGATCTTAGGGAAACTTCCTTGAGGATGACTATTTTAGCTACCATCTATATTTTCATGTTTAAAATAAAGATGAATTTTTATTGTGATGATTGATGGAGGAATTATCCACAGGCTCCTGGAAAAATAACAAATCAATAGCAATTTTGAAGGGAAAACTATGGTAACTACCATAGGTATTGAATAGAAATAGAAACTGAAAGGAAAAAATGACTCCATCTCAATTAAAGACAAAGAGCTGCTTTTGATATGGGCAGAGATGTAGGATTTTGCCAGATGAAGGAGGCTTGTAGCAAGGGAATTTCAGCCTAGAGACAAACTAGAACAAGAGCAGAAATAGCAGAAATCAAGGACTTGAATTTTAGAAAATGATAAAGAACTGACTGCTAATTGTATTTCTGCCCTCTGCTGATTAAAACAGGGAAGAGCAGATCTATTAAAACATGGAAAGAACTTACATCTTGGAGGATCAAGCATCCTACTGAGAATCTGATGAAACATAGACTTCCTCAGAAAATAGTACATATATATTGTTTTGCATATAATTTCAGCTGCTCCATGTAATTCCTACAGTCTGAACTATGAGCTTATGAAAAATCCATTACTATAAAATCATGTCCCCCCATTTTTTATCTGTTTATGCCTATGTGTGGGTACAAATGAATTCTTTTGTAATAATCAATCGCTTTAAGGGACTCATTTCTCACGTCATCTATTTTCCCCCAGTCCTCTGGCAACCACTTGATGGAGGACAAGAATAGAAAGACTGGAAAGGAGGTGCCCCAAGACCAGAACATGACTCACAAGGAAGTGGGGTCGAGGGGAATAACAATGACCATTAACCCAGCTGTAGAGGTCAGACCCTCAGGCGCCAGTGCCTTATCACAAGGCTTGAGACCCAAGCAGGATCAGATGCTACGGGGAGTGGAGCACAGGCCTGAGGGTAAAGATATGGAGATTGGGCCCACCCTGGAATCTCTGGTCCCTTTCTAGTTTTGCCTGTTACCCAACATCAGCAACAAATAGCCACTCCACGGAGGATCAACCACTCCCAAGGAGAAAAGGACTATATCAGTGCAGTCTCTGCACAGGCTTGGGGCAGCACTCCCACTGCACACCTGTGACTATACAGGTGCCTCTTCTCACCAACTCTCTCCCTCTGCAGGGTGGCAGCTTCCTGCCTGCCCATGATTTATACCGTGCTGGGGCTTCTCACTGACCTCCCTCAGTGGAGGCAGCTCTCCTCAAGGCCACCCGTCTGTGAACATGCAGACCTCTCTCAGCAAACCTGTCCCTTTCCCTAACAAACCTGCTCTTTAAATATAATTAACATCTCTGTCTCATGGAGAAACCCATCTGGGAAACTCGCTACGTGTTTCTGAAATGGGAGCTCTGGGGAAATCTTTCACAGAGTGAACCCCAGGATCCCACACTCTACAAACTACATCACCACTAATCTACTTTCTGCCTCTATGTATTTGCCTTTTTTTTTTTTTTTTAAGATTTATTTATATAAGCACTGGGGTACGGGCCAGAGGCACGGGATGGTGAGAGAATTCACCAGAGACAGAGCAGGGAGCTGAACAGGCAGAAAGACCGAAATACACCGTTGAAGGGAGCAGCAGGTGAGACAGGAGAGGTCTGCCGTGTCATGTGGGAATCTCCCAGGCCAGCCGGGAATCGAATTGGCGCTGCAGAGGCTGCAGACAGCTTCACTGCGGACATCTTCACAGCGCTGCGCTCAACCTGCTGCACCACCCCGGCTGCGCCAACAGGAAGGCCCCAGATTTGCCTATTCTGGAACCCATGGATGGTGCAGCTATGAAAAACAGTGTGGTGATTCCTCAAATTTTACATAGAATTTAAGAAGTTCCACTTCTGGATATGTATGCCAAAAGAATTGAATGGAGGGGTGGGATTAAAAGATATTTGCATTTCTATGTTTGTAACACTATTCACAATAGCCTAACTTGTGTTATGGTTACTAAATTTAAAAACTAAGCCCCCACTCCTTGGCCAGCAGGCAAGTTTGGGAGGCTTGAAGGGATAAAGGGAGTGGATGGGATTGCCAAGGGAAGGGACCCTGGACATTAAGCTGATGATCCTCTATGCTAATTCAGATCGTAAGACAGGACACACCCAAGACTGGTCACCTTAACCAATCAATGACACCTGAAGTATAAACAGAGCCTCGGGACCCTCCCTCTGTGTGTAGTAGAGTCCTTGCGTGTCTTGCCCACTGTTTCTCTCTACAGTATATGTCAGTAAATCTATTTGCTCTGCTCTGTTCTTCACTTGGTCTCTGGTGAACTCTTATACTTCTCCCTGGCTGCCCCCATAATACAAAAAGGTGGAAGCAAGCCAACTAAAAAGTTAAGTAAGATCTGGATATACCGGACCTCCCCGGTGGCTCAGTGGTTGAGCTCTAGGTTGCGAAGCTGCCCGCAGCCTCTGCGGCGCCGGTTCGATCCCCGGCTGCTCCCCGGCCACCGGAGGAGGGTCCCACATGGCGCGCAGACCTCTCCTGCTGCCCGCTGCTCCCCTCAGCAGTGTACTTCGGTCCTTCTGCCTGCTCTGCTCCCCGCTCTGGCTCTGGTGGATTCTCTCACCCTCCTGCACTTCTGACTGTACCCAGTGCATGTATAAACAAAACAAACAAATAAATAAAAACATGCCTCTATAAATAAATAATAATAATAAAAAAAAGATCTGGATATACCATTAATGATGGCATGTTACTTACCCTTAAGTAGGAAATCTTGTCACATGCTACAACTTGAATTAATCTTGAGAACATTATGCTAAGAGAATTAAGTCAGTCACAAAAGAAATACTCTATGATGTCTCAAATAAAATATCTAAAGTTATTAAGTTAATGTAAACAGAAAGTAGAATGGTGGTTGCAGAAGTTGGGAGAGGAGGAAATGGGGAGCTGATAGTATGACTTTTTTTTTAAAGATTTATTTATTCATTTATACAAGCAGTGGGTACAGTCAGAGGCATGGGAGGGTGAGAGAATTCATCAGAGCCAGAGCAGGGAGCAGAACAGGCAGAAGGATCGAAGTACACTGCTGAGAGGAGCAGGGGGCGTGGCAGGAGAGGTCTGCGCGCCATGTGGGACCCTCGCCGGTGGCCGGGGATCGAACCAGCGCTGCAGAGGCTGCCTGGCAGCTTCGCAGCCCAGCGCTCAACCGCTGCGCCACCAGGGGAGGCCCTTTAGTATGACGTTTTAATTTTGCAACATGAAAACATTCTGTAGGGCTCTTTCCCAACAGAACGAAGACACTTGGCACTACTGAACTACACACTTAAAAATAGTTAAGGTGGAAAAAAAAATTTCTGTGTCTCATACTGAGCACTTGTGAGATCAGATGTGTGGAGCTTTTCCCCACCAAGCAAGACTCTGGTTTTCTTTTTTTTAAAGATTTTTTAATTTAAGTATACAAGAGCTGGAGTGTAGGCCAGAGGCGAGGAGAGGTGAGCGGATTCTCTGGAGACAGGAGACAGAGTGGGGAGCAGAACAGGCAGATATACTATATACACTGCTTAGGGGAACAAAGGGCAGGCAGGAGAGGTCTGCTGTGCCACGTGGGTTAGCTCCCTGGCCGGGGATTGAACTCATGCTGCAGTGGCTGCTGATAGCTTCATAAAGCTGAGACTTAACCCCTTGTGCCACCAGGAAGATCCAAGACTCTGGTCTTCTGCAGACAGCAGCTGGGTGTCTTACAGTGCAATTCAGTTTTGACATAATCTACTGAGAATAAATGTCAGATCCCTTTCATTTCAGATATCATTTGAAGTCTAGATTGTTAACTGTTATTTCACCTCCTGTTTATAAATCCAAGATTCCCAGATCTGCCACTTTGCATTCCATTTATTTTCTAGAGAAGCACACCCAACTCAGGAAAACACTTTACCTACTAGATTGCCAATTTACCACAAAGGATAATGAAGTATACAAATAAATACCCAGATGGAGAGGTACATAGGGTGAGATCAGGAAGAATCCTGCACACAGAAGCTTCAATCTTTTGCATCTTGGGGTGCATCATCCTTTCAACACATGGATGCCTTCTTGCTCACAATTCAGAATGCCTCTGAAGCCCTCCTTTTGAGTTTTTATGGAAGCCTCTTTACATAAGGGGATTGATCACATCATTTGCATCCATCCTGAATTCAACCTCTAGCTCCTTCACTTCTAGGATGGAAAGGTAATGGTGGGGTATTTCTAAAAGATACAGATGTCTCATCACATGATTTATTCCCCAGGTAAACAGACACCAGCTTTGAATTACCTATGACTATCCAAAAGTCACCACATTCACATAAAGTTACTCACACATATATACATAAAGTCACTCCCAAATTCTTGGCACACATATTGTGAGATGATAGCTGTTTCTTGACAAAGCCACTAGGATTTAGGGTAATATGTTATACCACAATAGAGATCTAATACTTAGAAACAGAAGTTTCTGGCATTTAATTTTCCTTTTTCTAAAGCCATATGTGAGCAATCTTTTCTATTTTCTTAAACAATAATCCTCAAAATTTTATAGATGAAGTAATCTTAACACCACCTACAAAAATTAATTCAAATGGAATAAATACCTAAATATAACTTAAATTCATAAAACTCCTAAAAAATTGGAAAATGGCTCCTTGACATTAGTGTTTGTAATGAGTTTATGAATGTGTCACCAAAAGTCCAAGCAACAAAGCAAAATAAACAAGTTGTGCTGCTGTAAACTGAAAGTGTCTACACACAAAAAGAAATAGTCAGCAAAATGAAATGGCAAACTATAGACTGGGGGAAAATATTTGCAAACCACATATCTGGTAAGGGACAAGTATTCAAAATATATAATGAACTTCTCCAGCTGAATGGTAAAATAAACAAATAATTAAATTTCAAAATAACCAAAACCCTTTATTATTGATAAAGGACTTGTTTCAGTCTTTTTCATGTGAATATTGATTTTTCCAGCACCATTTATTGAACACATTGTCCTTTCACCATTGAATATTCTTGGTTTCATTGTCAAATATTAGTTAACTACGTGTGCATGGATTCGTTTCTGGGCTGTCAATTCTGTTCCATTGGTCTGTGTCTGTTTTTAGGCAAATACTACAGTTTTGATTACTATTACCTTGTAATATAGTTTGAAACCAAGAAGAATGATGCTTCAGATTTCTTCTTTCTCAGGATTGCTTTAACTATTCAGAGTCTTTCCTGGTACCATAGGAAATGGGATTTTTTTCCTATTTCTTTCTGTAAAATAGACAATGGACCCTTGATAGTGATTGCACTGAATCTCTAGATGACTTTGGGTAGCATGCACATTTTAACAATAGCAGTTCTTCCAATCCATGGGAATCTTTTCATTTATTTGTGTCTTCAATTTCATCAACATCTTGTAGTTTTCAATGTAGAGATTTGTTATCACCTTGGTTAAATTTATTCCTAAGTATTGTATTTGTTGTTTTTTGATACTCTAGAAAATAGGATTCTTTTCCTTATTTCTTTCTCAGATAATCCATTTTCAGTGTATAGAATCACACACTGAAAACTTCTACATTCTTCACAGTGTTCACCATTTAGGGCGTCATCTTTGTCTGTTCTTGAAACAATATACACACCAAATCATTCCATTCAGCTCGAAGTCACAGGAAGTTGGAGTAAAGGGGTGAACGGAAATCATAGGCTACGACTGAAAGGATATGTGGTGGAAACATTTCATAATGACAGTTCTGAAGAGTAAGTGTGAACCAATTAAGTGTTTTGTGACGTCTTGAAATCTTGAAACAAGAAGGGAGACTCTGAAAAAAAGACAGAAATTAGTATATTTTTCTTAAAGCTATTATCACCACTAACATTTAAAGACACCATAGGAAGACCATTAAGCTACTTTACAGTGAACATAAACAGACACTGCAGCCTTCAGTCCATGACACACACCAATACAGGGGAAGATCTGCATCTCTAGAGCCAGGGTGAGCTGTGCTAACAATAAAAACCACAGTCGAATTACAATGGGATTGACCTATATCCTATACCCATGTATCCATTCCCTTCCCTGACTTAACTCCCACAAAAAAAGTTGTTTTGTTCTCACATTTTCCAGGGATGGGTAAACTAACTAAAGAAATAAATCTCCATGTACGTGGCAAGGAGATGGTGAGGACAGTCCATGTCAAAAAGATCAGGGGAGGGTCCTCCCTGGTGGTGCAAAGGGTTAAGTCTCAGCACTATGAAGCTTTCTGCAGCCACTGCAGCACAAGTTCGATCCCAGGCCAGGGAGCTAACCCACATGGTGCAGCAGACCTCTTCTGTCTCCCCTCAGCAGTATATTTCAGTCAGTCTGCCTATTCAGCTCCCCACTCTGTCTCTGGTGAAATATCTCACTCTCCGCACCTCTGGCCTGTACCCCAGTTCTTGTATGCATAAATAAATAAATATTTTTAAAAAATCAGGCAAGAAGACTGAAGAAGGATGCTGCTTTGTGGATCAGAATTTTTTTTTTTTTAAGGATTTATTTATTTATTTATTTATTTATTTATTTATACAAGCACTGGGTACAGTCAGAAGTGCGGGAGGGTGACAGGACTCACCAGAGCAAGGGTGGGGAACAGAACAGGCAGAGTGATGAAATACACTGCTGAGGGGAGCAGTGGGCACAACAGGAGAGGTCTGTGTGCCATGTGGGACCCTCGCCGGTGGCCAGGGATCAAACCAGCGCTGCAGAGACTGAGGGCAGCTTCACAGCCCAGAGCTCAACCACTGCGCCACCAGGGGAGGCCCGTGGATAAGAATCTTTAGCGCTGTATGTTACTTACTAGAAAAATGCAGTGGAGTTCCAGTGAATACAGATTCATAAGCTCATGTGGGAATCTTGGACAGTTACCTTCTTCCCCAGGTGAGTAGTTCACAAAATTCCTCCAGCAGTAGTGGTAGTCTAAGGAATGCACAGGTTGGTTCATCAGCAAAAACATATCAAAAATGTCCACTTTAAAAATATATCAGAAAAAGAACCCTATTGCCAGTTAGTTGCTAGAGCTGGAAAGACTCGCCCCGAATCCAAGAAGAAAAACCAAGGCAGCTCATTTAAAGATAGCTGGGCAGCCAGAATGGGAAGGGTGGAGAAAGGAATGAGATCTTTGATCTTGTCCTTACTCTGAATTTCACACCTGGTTCTCTCTTGCATTCTTTTGAACTTTCACATCTGAGACTTGCAGCCTGGGATAATCTCCTGGCCCAGAATCAAACCACCAGCCCTTGTCTCATAGAAACTTAAGATTCTTCATTGCTTTTACCTGGGACTTTCATGACCTGGATGCGCACACCGCTGTTTCTGAGGTCCCTGAGTCCTTGCCGGTTTGATTCATTCAGGTGATGGTAAAGCCGGGCGACATATATAATGAGAGTCACATTAGGATGTTGACTCAAAAATTCTCTAATAACCCGCGAGCATTCAGAACAGGGGCTCCAGGACAAGAACCAGATGATGGTGCAGTGGACAGCTGGATGAAAATCTGCAGTAAATTTTTCTTTAAAATTGACTTCAGCGTGTTTGTTAGTGTTTTCAACCGAATGTCGCCAGATCTTTTGGCTCCTGTTCCATAGGATTTCATAGAGCAGACAGGTCTCTTTACGGAGTTGTTTTGGGTCAAAGAAGGCTGCAAATTCCTGGGGTTCGATTCTCCTTCTGAAATATAAAAAGCACTCCTTGTTTTCATGCCATCTTAGTGGGACATTAGAACTCACTTCATGCTCCCTCTTCTGTCAGGAGTTCTAAAACCTGACACCCCTACAAAAGTTAACATATCCTCATTAAAGGGAGATATACAAATAGGTACTGGAAAAAATATATTATAGGGGGCCTCCCTGGTGGCGCAAGGGGTTAAGCACTACACTATGAAGCAATCCGCCACCTCTGCAGCATGAGTTCGATCCCCGGACATCTAGGGAGCTACCCACATGGTGCAGCAGACCTCTCCTGTCTCATCCGCTGCTCCCCTCAGCAGTGTGTTTCAGTCAGTCTGCCTGTTCTGCTCCCTGCTGTCTCTGGTAAATCCTCTCACTCCCCGCATCTCTGGTCTATACCCCAGCTCTTGTATGCATAAATAAATAAATCTTTAAAAAAATAATAAGTCATGATACCTTTTTTTTTTTTTCCTCTTTCAGCCTCTAAGTTATCCAGGGGCCCATCTGAATGACCATCATTTCCCTCACAAACACTGAAGAGATCATGCCCCACTCCTGTTGTGTGGTTACCACTGTGTACACGGTCTGGTGCTCCTGTTCATGTATAAATGTGTCCTTCTTTCTCTTTGAAGGTTTCTCATGATGTTCTCATCTTTCCATTTCATGCCTAGAGGTGCCATAGAAGCCTAAGATTCTTCATTGCTTTACCTGGGACTTTCATGATCTGGATGAGCACACCTGTTTCTGGGGGCCTGAGTTTTTGTTGGTTCTGTTCTTTCAGGTGATAGTAAAGTGGGGCGACATTTATAATTAGAGTCACATTAGGGTGTTCCAATCATTCATTTTCTTATTCCCTGGTGAACTCTGACTAGGTTTTCTCTGGTGTGGAAATCTCAAATTGCCAACAAGATTCTATAGTCAAGTCTGAGAAGGAAGTAGTTTGGCCTTAGGACTCTTTCACATCAATTCCATATTTTTTCTTGTTCTCTGTGGCAACTTTAGGTTCTCTTTCTTGTTCTCTGCGGCAACTTTAGGTTCTACATTCTCCCGATCTCACATCTGAGACTCTGAAAGCTCAGGTGTGTGTTGAGGACTGTTCTTTGCCTTATCGTGGAGCGTGAGCTGTAGCTTCCAAGTATTTCCCACTCATCTCTAAGGTATCACCTGCATTTATTCCATAGGTGGGTAGAAGAACATGATATAATACTGCCTGACAGTGGTCTCTCTTTAACGGTGTGACTGGAAAATGGGCATATATTAAAAAACTATCAATGGAACAGGTAACTTCCCTGGATTTTTCACTAATCACCCTAAAAATGTGATTTTTTTTTTGTGGGACCCTCACCGGTGGCCGGGGAATGAACCGGTGCTGCAGAGGCTGTGGGCAGCCTCACAGCCCAGGGCTCAACTGCTGCACCACCAGGGGAGGCCCCTAAAAATGTGGTTTATTTTTATTTTTTTTTTTTTTAATAGAGGCATGTTTTTATTTATTTATTTAGTTAGTTTTGTTTGCTTGTTTATACATGCACTGGGTACAGTCAGAAGCGCGGGAGGGTGAGAGAATTCACCAGAGCCAGAGCGGGGAGCAGAGCAGGCAGAAGGACCGAAGTACACTGCTGAGGGGAGCAGCGGGCGGCAGGAGAGGTCTGCGCGCCATGTGGGACCCTCCTCTGGTGGCCGGGGAGCAGCCGGGGATCGAAGCGGCGCGGCAGAGGCCGCGGGCAGCTTCGCAACCCAGCGCTCAACCGCTGCGCCACCGGGGAGGCCCCCTAAAAATGTGGTTTAAAGAGATAAGAGGAGTAGTAAGATAGTAATAGAACAAAGCTGAAGAGAATTTATTTAAATAGAAAACAAAAGACATAGGAGCAAAGATAAAATGTTTAATAATCATAGAGAATGAAGTGGAAAACACAGAAAAACAAAATGAAAGAAAGAAAAAAGAAGGGGAATACAATAAAAAAAGAAAAACAAAGGGGAACAAAGGAAAGCTGTAGGCCCACAGGCCCCAAATATGCATTTATTCTGGGCTGAATACCTGTGTACTATGATAGAGTCATTCTTACCTGAAGGCAGCTTCTTCAGTAGGACCTGTTGACAGAGATATGAATATATCAAATTATATCCACATGCATTGAACAGCTAAGAAAAATATACCAGGAAAAAGAAAACCTTCTCAGAAAAATGAAGGTAGAAGTTCTCTCCTGAAATAATTGGATTGGACCAGTTCACTGCCTCAAGAAAAACAAGCCTTGAAGGGCTCTGCTAAAATTCATTTGCCTGGGCCTCCCCTGGTGGCACAGCGGTTGAGCGCTGAGGCTGCAAAGCTGCCCGCAGCCTCTGCAGTGCCAGTTCGATCCCCTGCCACCGGAAAGGGCCCCACATGGCATGAAGACCTCTCCTGCTGTGCCCGCTGCTCCCCTCAACAGTATATTTCATCAGTCTGCCTGTTCTGTTCCCCGCTCTGGCTCTGGTGAATTCTCTCACCCTCTGTACCCAGTGCTTGTATAAATAAATAAATAAATCTTTAAAATAAAATAAAATAAAATAAAATTCATTTGCCCAACTGCAAACAAGGTTTTCTTCTACAAGGCTCTAACAGAAAGGATTGAATGCAAGGACAAAGTTATTCTGAATGGGTCTCCCTGGTGGCACAAGGGGTTAAGATGCAACCTCTGAAGCTATCTGCAGCTACTGCAGCAAGAATTTGATCCCCAGCCAGGAAGCTACAGCAGACCTCCCCTGACTGGCTCGCTGCTCCCCTCAGCAGTGTATTTCAGTCAATCTGCCTGTTCTGTTCCCCACTCTGTCTCCGGTGAATCTTCTCACCCCCACACCTTTGGCCTGTACCTCAGTTCTTTTATTCATAAATAAATAAATCTTTTAAAAAAGTTATTCTGAAGAGGCTCCTAGGTGTAATTTTTATGTTGCTTCATGGCCTCCTGTACTTCCTTCATGATAGTGAGCATTATGTTATATATTCACACACCTGTGACAACACTGAATAGTAATGACGTGAGCTATGGATTATGTATATCTGACGCAAGGTGTTTCAGGCTCTGTCACGCTGCCTGAAACATGTTGGTTAGCATAGATTTTTACTGATAAAGGACTTAATGAACTCTAATGGCATCCACACCAGAGTAGCTGACTCCCTGTGCAAAATGAGACCTTGTAAAATATCATTTCAAATCTACTTTCCTTAAATTGCAAACACCATCTCTGGAAATTCTCTCAAAATTTTTTAACTTGAATCTTCTTTTCTCTTTGCCAATCCAAACTCTCCTCTTTTGTAGTCTTCTGCTCAACTCCCACCCCATCCAAAAATCTTTTTCTTCCAAAGTCTGAAGTATTCCTCTCTTTCACAATTTTTTTTAACATTAACTATAGCAGGAGTGGTTTACTTAATTTTTCATTGTGGTAATACAAACAATTTTCTGTTACTTGATGAAAATTCTTTGTGGATGTGAAGAGCTATTAGTAGTATAGTAGTGCAAGTAGTAGTAGTAGATAATAAATCTTAGTAAAGGGTAATACGAATATCCTAATATGCTAATATTGACCCTGATATCCTAATATTAATGTTAATATCATACTAGTAAATGCTAATGTAAGAATAGAGCGTAACAGCAGCCATTTTAAAGTACAGCAGCCATTTAAGAGCTTAACTGACTGTGAGGTTGCAATTCCTGGAATCCTAGATTCTAAGAACCAGAGTCTGTAACCATTAGATTACCCTAACAGTTGGATTCCTAGAATCCACATGTGAAGCTGTCAGATTACCCTAAGGGACCCATTCTGTATGCCTATTTATTTATTTATTTATTTATTTTTTTACATTTTTTTTTTTTTAAAGATTTATGTATTTATACAAGCACTGGGCACAGTCAGAAGCACAGCACAGGAGGGTGAGAGAATTCACCAGAGCCAGAGTGGGGAGCAGAGCAGGCAGAGGGACTGAAGTACACTGCTGAGGGGAGCAGCGGGCGGCAGGAGAGGTCTGCGTGCCATGTGGAACCCTCCTCCGGTGGGCGGGGGGTAGCCTGGGATCGAACCGGCGCTGCAGAGGCTGCGGGCAGCTTTGCAACTCAGCACTCAACCGCTGCGCCACCAGGGAGGCCCAATATCCTATTATTAATAATAGGAAGGTTGTAAAATATTCCAGGACATAAGCACAAGCAGTACACATGCACACACACACACACACACAGAGCTTTTGTATTTTCTTAAAAATATGAGCTTGCCAGTCACCCCCCACCCCCATCCTGTGCATTTTACCTGTGTCAGAAGTCATGGTGCTCTGTCACTGTCCCTTGCCTCTGGAGTTATATATGGTGCTGGTCGCTTCTGTCATCAACATAACTGAACACTTCATGTGTAATTATCTGCTTAGTGGAGGATGACTCATTACTGAGTTTCAGGGAGTTACTGGTTATATGTGCTGCACAGATAGGTAGGAAATCGAGAGAGAAGTGGGTGCAAGAGTTTCATTCTTGAGTTGGTAGAGAAAGCTTATGGCACAAAGGTACAAACAACATGAATCCGCTAGAGATTGAGGCTATCTTAATTCCAAATTTCTTCTCTGTCACATCCCAATTTAGAGATCTTTCTTTCTTTCTTTCTTTCTTTCTTTCTTTCTTTCTTTCTTTCTTTCTTTCTTTCTTTTTTCTTTCTTTCTTTCTTTCTTTCTTTCTTTTCTTTCTTTCTTCTTTCTTTCTTTCTTTCTTTCTTTCTTTCTTTCTTTCTTTCTCTCTCTTTCTCTCTCTCTCTCTCTTTCTCTCTCTCTTTCTCTCTCTTTCTCTCTCTCTTTCCTTCTTTCTTTCCTTTCTCTTTCTACCTGGGGCACAGGTCAGAGGCGCAGGAGGGTAAGAGAATTCACCAGAGACAGAGTGGGGAGCAGAACAGGCAGACGGGCCAAAGACACTGCTGAGGGAAGCAGTGGGAGAGTCAGGAGAGGCCTGCTGCAGGCATGTGGGTAGCTCCCTGGCTGGGGATTGAACTCATGCTGCACTGGTTGTGGATAACTTCACAGGTTTTGTCTTAACCCCTTGCGCCACCAGGGAGGGCCCCTTAATGACCTTTCTTTAAATTAAGGTTAGAGAGACTAAGTCAGGTAGAAAGAGCTATGGTAAAGACACAAGGTCGAGTCACTATGGCTAGAGTGGCTTGTCTCTCCAGGAAAGGGGGCACTTGCATTGAAGATAACAAAGGCAAACTATTCTGTATATAAAAAAGTAGAATAGGCACATCAAAGACATCTTTACAGACACATCACCCAAAGCAGTGATAGTGAAGGCAAAGATAAACAGCTGGGACTACATCAAATTAAAGAGCTTCTGCACAGCAAAAGAGACCATAACAAAAACAAAGAGAAACCCCACCAACTGGGAGAACATTTTTGCACACAACACTAATGATAAAGGACTGATCACAAAAATCTGCAAAGAGCTGATGAGACTCAGCAACAACAAAGAAAATAATCCAGTCAAAAAATGGGCAGAAGAGCTAAAAAGAAACTTCTCTGAAGAGGAAATGCAAATGGCCAACAGGCATATGAAAAAATGTTCAACATCACTTGTCATCAGGGAAATGCAAATCAAAACTACCATGAGATACCATCTTACACCAGTGAGAATGGCACATATTAAGAAAACTAGCAACAACAAGTGCTGGCGAGGTTGTGGAGAAAAAGGAACTCTCCTGCACTGCTGGTGGGGTGCAAACTGGTCCAACCACTATGGAGAGCTGTGTGGAGATTTCTGGACCTACTAAACATAGAGTTTCCATATGATCCAGCAATTCCACTCCTAGGTATTTACCCAAAGGACACAGAAACATCAATTCCAAAGAGCACCTACACCCCTATGTTTATAGCAGCACTGTTTACAATAGCTAAGCTTTGGAAACAGCCCAAATGCCCAAAAATAGATGACTGGATCAAGAAGATGTGGTACATATACACCATGGAATATTATTCAGCCTTCAAAAAAGATAAACACATGTAATTTGCAGCAACATGGATGGAGCTGGAAGGGATCATGCTCAGCGAAATAAGCCAGAAAGAAAAAGAAAAATACCAGATGGTCTCACTCATAGCAGGAATCTAGAAAACTTAAATAAGGGACCAGGAAAATGAATAACTATATGAAAGTGAAAATCAAAATCAACAAAAAACTATGAACGAGACACTTTTTGGGGGGTGGAGGGCGGGAGGGGAAGGATTGGGGTCAAAATGGGAGCTTGCAATTGTATGGGGAATATAAAAATAAAATTTATTATTAAAAAAAAAAAAAAAGTAGAATAGGGCCTCCCTGGTGGCGCAGCGGTTGAGTGCTGGGTTGCGAAGCTGCCCGCGGCCTCTGCGGCGCCGCTTCGATCCCCGGCTGCTCCCCGGCCACCAGAGGAGGGTCCCACATGGCGCGCAGACCTCTCCTGCCGCCCGCTGCTCCCCTCAGCAGTGTACTTCGGTCCTTCTGCCTGCTCTGCTCCCCGCTCTGGCTCTGGTGAATTCTCTCACCCTCCCAAGCTTCTGACTGTACCCAGTGCATGTATAAACAAACAAACAAAAAAAACCCAAACAAATAAAATAAATAAATAAATAAAACATGCCTCTATATAAAAAAAAGTAGAATATATGTATTTGAAGTTGAAAATTTCATCTCAAGATCAAGAAATGGGACAAAGGTATTCTTAAACTGTGTCCAGCTTCTAGTCATTTGTGAAGAGGGTAGCTTGCTTGAATTCAAGATTAGATGGACAGAGCCTGATAGTATTACTGGAAAGGGGAGCAATGCCTGACCCCTCAGATTGATCCCAACCTCTCCCACAAAGCAGGTGGATAAGCCTAGCTGCATATCCACTGCTAGGATATGTTCCACCCACTAGGAGTCAGAGGAATGAACCAACAGATCAGCTTTCAGGCAGGGAATAGACTGTTAAGATCTTCTGGTCCATAGTGAAAGAGAGGGGCCTCTCTGGTGGCCTAGGGGTTAAGTCTCAGTGTTATAACCCTGGGTCCTGAGTTTGATCCAGGGATCTAACCCACATGGCACAGCAGACTTCTCCTATCTCATCCACTGCTCCCGTTAGCAGAGTATTTCAGTAGATTGGCATGTTCTGCCCCAAACTCTGCCACTGATGAATCTTCTCATCCCCAGCACCTCTGGCCTGCACCCTAGTTCTTCCATGCAAAAATAAATAAAATTAAAAAACAAAGATTGAAAAGAGGACTCGACAGACACTGATTTGGGCAGACAAGAAGCCAGGGTTTATTGGTTAGAGAAAGAGCAAGAAAAGAGCACTCCCAGGAGACTTCGCTGGGCATAAGAGACCCTTTGTGAGATTTGAGGCAGGGATCTATATAGATCTTAGGAATGGATTTTGAGAAGAAAGGAATTAAACTTTATTGGCAGAGAAAGCAAGGAAAGTGGACTTGGTTAAAATCCATTAATGTTGCTGATTGTGGGAACCCATCAGCTGCAGCTTGGTGGGTACAGGGATCGTGACCTTCTTCCAAGTGAACTTCTCGTGGATGCTGTGTGATCACAGTTCAGGTTAAACGTGTCTGATCTGACTCTTTGGTCTGCACCTCCCTTTTCTTCCCATAGCCTATTTGATAAGCTGAGGAAAGAAGCTCAGAACTGGTAAAAGGAAAAAAATAAATGAGCCAAGGAAAATTTTGGCAGCGGGTATCCAGGCCTAGAGTCATCAGGTTTTTTTTTTTTTTTTTTAATATTTATTCATTTATGCATACAAGAATTGGGTTACAGGGCCTCCCCTGGTGACGCAGCGGTTGAGCGCTGGGCTGCGAGGCTGTCTGCAGCCTCTGCAGCGCCGGTTCGTTCCCCAGCCGCCAGCGAGTGTCCCACAAAAAAAGAAAAAAAAAATTGGGTTATAGGCCAGAGGTGTGTGTGGAGGCGTGGTGAGGATGAGAGGATTCACCAGAGACAGAGTGGGGAACAGAACAGGCAGATTAACTGAAATACACTGCTGAGGGGAATAGTGGTCTGCTGTACCATGTGGGTAGCTCCCTGGCAGGCCAGGGATTGAAATTGTGCTACAGTGGCTGCCGACAAATTCACAGTGCTCTGCCTAACCCCCTGCACCACCGGGGAGGCCTAGCAATCAGGTTTTTAAGCTCTGGGAACAGCAAAATTTTGGTCCTTGATTCCTGTCCCTTTCCTGCACTCTTCCTGTCTCAGTATCTTCCCTCAGGTACTAGAAAGTAATAAACTGAAGGAAATTGCAGGAGTTAGGAACAATGTATACATATTGCATATTGACACATAGTTAAAGTCATATGGAACCTTTAACAAGGTGCGTAGCAGTCTAACCAAATTGCCTGGATTGGTTGCAGTTAAGACCCTCAGTGGGACCCCACTTACCAGGGTCACTTCCCCTTGTTTGAGGACCCTCCTCTCAATGAGACTGGCTAACCTGAGGCTAATGATTTATTCGCAGGCCTAAACTGAGTATACACCCCAACACCCTATCATCCCTACTGATGGGAGACAGGTGGCACCTGTGGTTGAGGGGACCTTAGCTCTTGAGGTGACCTAAGTTCTGAGAGTGTGTGATGAAAATTCAGAGGAACTTGATGTGGGGTTCAGACAGGGGGACAATGGCAATAGTGAGTACAGCATTCATTTTTTTTTTAAGGAGAATAAAAAACCACAAGTGCATTTGGCAACATATTTATCTGTGCTTCTAGAAGGAAGAGGGATCACCAATAACTTCTGCACCAACCACCTGACTCAGAAGTCAAAGTCCTTCTGATTTCCAACTAGCAGTGCCCCTCCCCTTTCCAACAGGATTGGGGCAAAGAGCAAAATAAGAGGAAGTTATAAAGTGAGAGACTAATAGCTCAACACAATGTCACTGTATCTTCACCAGGTAATGCTGAAAGCTTCCAATTACAAAATGGGAAAATTCTCTTTTCTTTCTCTTCTCTGCAATAAAGAATGATGAATCAGTCTCTTCTTAACTTCAATTTAAAGAATAGGGAAACTTTGTTAAATTCAGATGTTATCAGGGAAGAGCTTTAGAATTGGAATGTCCCCAGTGATGTACTCTATAGGGTTTATGTTAATTGTACCATAAACTTTCTTTATCAATCCAATGTCTAACCCCCTGCACCCACTTCCCTCTTGATTTCCTACCTATCTGTCTAGATGCCCATTAATTCCCTGAGACTCAGGAATGAGTCATCCTCCACCCAAGTGGCAGGGGTGAGTTAGCAATGTCCAGACATGTTTCAATGAGTTAGCAATGTCCAGACATGTTTCTGGTAAGAGTATATAGGAGCACAGGGGGAAAGTCCAATGAGGCGCCATGACTTCTGACACAGGTAAAGTGAACCGCGGGTGTCTGGCAAGCTCCATATTCTGGAAAAGTACATAGAGTATGTTTGTTTGTGTGTGTGTGCATGTGTGTGTGTGTCCTGCTTGTGCTTATATCCTGGATTATTTTTCAAATTTCCTATTAATATCATTCTTAAATAAGATTTATTTACTACTATTTCTTCCACTTCTTTATTACTACATCTATTCACGTCCACAAAGAATTTTGATCAAATGACGTTAAATCAATGTTTGTTCCGCCGTAATAAAAATTAAGTAAACAGTTGTTAAAATAATTGTTTAAAATAGCAACAGAAGGCATAATAGCAGAGGGCATGTCATTTGATAATTTAAGGCTCAGTTTCTAAGAGGGAAAACATGTCAGACTGTGAAAGAAAATGATTTTCAGATGAGGTAGGATTTGTGCTAATACCAAAATGAAATTTGAAGTTGGAATGGCAAAGAGGAAAAGGTGATTCCTGGTTGATTGACAGAGAGTTTGAGGGAATTCCCAGGGTGGTGTTTGAAATATGAAGAGTAAATTGATTAGGTTAGAGAAGAGTTTAAGGAAAAAAATCTGTATTGAGATTAGGAAGTGAATTTGATTATTGCATTTATTTTTATTTTGGTACCATTGGTTTACAATACTGCATTAAGCTCAGTGGTACAGAATCACAGCTTTTCAAATATGTGATCCCACTCCATGCCCACCACCAAAGGTCTGATAATCTTTTTTAAAAAAAGATTTATTTATTTATTTTATTTATACAATAGCTGGGGTACAGGCCAGGGTACAGGGAGGGTGAGAGGATTCACCAGAGACAGAGTGGGGAGCAGAGCAGGCAGACTGACCAAAGACACTGCTGAGGGGAGCAGCGGGCGAGTCAGTAGAGGTCTGCCATGCCATGTGGGTAGCTCCCTGGCTGGCCGGGAATCGAACCCACACTGCAGAGGCTGCGGACAGCTCCACAGCACTGTGCTCAACCCTCTGCACCACTGGGGAGGCCCAGGTCTAATAACCTTCATTCAACTCTTTGTGCCCAGTGTTCCCACCTACCCTCATGTACCCTCCATTATCATAGTCTCAGGGTTATTTTTGTTTTGTTTTCTTTGATTGATTGCATTGTTGCTTTATGTTCCACAAACGAGTGAGATCACCCGGGATTTGTATCTCTTTCACTGTAACTTATTTTGCTTAACATAATCCCCTCAAGTTTGATTCTTATTGTCTCAAATGACAGGATTTCATGTTTGTTATATCTCTGTTATATTCCACCATGTAATATGCCACACCATCTTTTGATGGGCATCTAGATACCCATCCATGTCTTGGTTACTGTGACTGGAGCTGCAATGAACATTGGGGTACATATATCTTTTTAAAATCAGTGTTTTCTTGTTTCTTGACTGCATATCTAGATGCAGAATTGATGGAGTATATGGCAATTTTATTTTTAGTTCTTTGAAGCACCTCAACAGTTTTCCATTGACACTGAATCAATTTACAACCCACAGCATGTACACAACAGGGCTTAGAGTGTTCCTTTTTCTCCACACCCTGGCCATTGTTTGTTTCTTCTTGTCTTTTTGAAATAGGCCATTCTCACAGGTAGAGGTGATATTTATTTATTTATTTATGCATACAAGAGCTGGGATACAGGCCAGAGATGCTGGGGGGGGTGGTGAGAGGATTCACCAGAGACAGAGTGGGGAACAGAACAGAGGATCCACTGAAATACACTGCTGAGGGGAGCAGCGAAAGAGAAAGGAGAGGTATGCTATACCATGCGGGTAGCTCTCTGGCTGGGGATCGAACTTGTGCCACAGTGGCTGCGAATAGCTTCATAGGTTGCGTCTTAACCCCTTGCACCATCAGGGAGGCCCTTGTTGGAATCTTAAAGAGGGTTAGCACTTCTGTAACTGGGAAAATAAATTTTAGCAGAGCCCTTCAAAACTTGCTCTCTTGATGCAGAGAACTGGTCCAATCCAATTATTTTAGGAGAAAAATTCTAACTCTATTTTTCTAGGAATATTTGCAGGTTTAGAAAAACAGAACATTTTTTCTTAGCAGGTCATTTTCATTTTGATATTATTTAACAATTCATGTCTGGTCAACAGGTCCTTCAGCTGGAGATGCCACTTTGAGGTAAGAAAGATCCCATTGCAGTATGTATTAATTCAAACAAAAAAAAAAAAAGGATATTTAAGAGCCAGTTACTTTCCTTACTTTTTCTTTCCTCTTTTCCATGCTCACATTCTTTTGTTATTTTGTCCTCTCCCGGATTCATTCTCTATGACTATTATCTTCTATATCTTTGCTCCTATGTTTTCGGTTTTTGTTTAAATAAATTCTCTCCCAACTTTGTTCTATTACTTTCTTACTACTCCTCTTATCTCTTTAAATCACATTTTTAGGGTGACTAGTGAAAGATCCAGGGAAGTTACCTGTTCCATTGATAGTTTTTACTATATGCCCATTTTCCAGTCACACCCTTATCATGTCTCCGTGAGTGGAAGAACTCACCTATGGAATAAATGCAGGTGATACCTTAGAGAATGGGTGGGGAATACTAGGAAACTACAGCTCATGACTTCACCATATTGCAGAGAACATCCTCAATACACAGCTGAGCTTTCCAATTCTCAGATGTCAGAATGGGAGAAGGTAGAACCTAAAGTTGCCGCGGAGAGCAATCTGAGCGTCTTTCCAAGAAAAAATACAGAATTGATGTGGAAGAGTCCTAAGGCCAAATTACTCTCTTCTCAGACTTGACTATGGAATCTTGTTGGCAATTTGAGGTTTCCACACCAGAGAAAACCTAGTCAGAGTCCACTGGGGAATAAGAAAATGAATGACTGGGACATGACAGCTCTAAGTATGAGATAGAAAGTTGAGAACATCATGAGAAACCTTCAAAGAGAAAGAAGGACACATTAATATGTGAACAGAAGCACCGTACAATGGTAATCACACAACAGGAGTGGGACAAGTTCTCTTCAGTGCCTGTGAGGGAAATCATGGCCATTCAGACAGGCTCCTGGATAACTAAGAGCTTAAAAGAGAAAAAAAAATTTCCTAAGATGTCTTAGCTTATTGTTTTTGCAGTACATATTTGTATATCTCCCTTTATTTGTTTTTTTTTTTTTTAAAGATTTATTTATTTATGCGTACAAGAGCTGGGGTACATGTATGCATACAAGAGCTGGCCAGAGGTGCGGAGGGTAAGAAGATTCACCAGAGACAGAATGGGAAACAGAACAAGCAGACCGACTGAAATACACTGCTGAGGGGAGCAGCAGGCAAGGCAGGAGAGATCTGCTGCGCCATGTGGGTTGCTCCCTGGCCGGCTGGGGATCGAACTTGTGCTGCAGAGGCTGCAGATTGCTTCATAGTGCGGTGCTTAACACCTTGTGCCACCAGGGAGGCCCTGTATATCTCCCTTTAATTAGGATTTGTCAGCTCCTGTAGGGATGTCGGGTTTTAGAACTCCTGACAGGAGACGGAGCAGGAAGTGTGTTCTAATGTCCTGCTAAGATGGCATTAAAACAAGGATTACTTTTTATATTTCAGAAGGAGAATTGAACCCTGGGATTTTGCAGACTTCTTTGACCCCACACAACTCCGTAAAGAGACCTGTCTGCTTTATGAAATCCACTGGAACAGGAGCCAAAAGATCTGGCGAAATACAGCCTGCAATAACAACAGGCATGTCGAAGTCAATTTTACAGAAAAATTTACTGCAGATTTTCATCCAGCTGTCCACTGCACCATCATCTGGTTCTTGTCCTGGAGCCCCTGTTCTGAATGCTCGCAGGTTATTAGAGAATTTTTGAGTCAACATCCTAATGTGACTCTCATTATAAACGTCGCCCGGCTTTACTATCACCTGGATGAATCGAACCGGCAAGGACTCAGGGACCTCAGAAACAGCGGTGTGCGCATCCAGGTCATGAAAGTCCCAGGTAAAAGCAATGAAGAATCTTTTTTTTTTTTTTAAATTTATTTGTTTGTTTTGTTTATACAAGCACTGGGTACAGTCAGAAGCGCGGGAGGGTGAGAGAATTCACCAGAGCCAGAGCTGGGAGCAGAGCAGGCAGAAAGACCGAAGCACACTGTTGAGGGGAGCAGTGGACGGCAGGAGAGGTCTGCGCGCCATGTGGGACCCTCCTCCGGGGAGCAGCCAGGGATCGAACTGGCGCCGCAGAGGCCGCGGGCAGCTTCGCAACCCAGCGCTCAACCGCTGCACCACCGGGGAGGCCAGCAATGAAGAATCTTAAGTTTCTATGAGACAGGGGCTGGTGGTTTGATTCTGGGCCAGGAGATTATCCCAGGCTGCAAGTCTCAGATGTGAAAGTTCAAAAGAATGCAAGAGAGAACCAGGTGTGAAATTCAGAGCAAGGACAAGATCAAAGATCTCACTCCTTTCTCCACCCTTCCCATTCTGGCTGCCTAGCTAGAGCTTTAAATGAGCTGCTTTGGTTTTTCCTCTTGGATTCTGGGCGAGTCTTTCCAGCTATAGTTGCTAATTGGCAAGAGGGTTCTTTATCTGTTTCATTTTTAAGGTGGACCCTCTTTGGCTATGTTTTTGTTGTATTTGTTGATGAACCAACCTGTGCATTCCTTAGACTACCACCACTGCTGGAGGAATTTTGTGAACTACCCACCTGGGGAAGAACGTCACTGTCCAAGATTCCCACATGAGTTTATGAATCTGTATTCACTGGAACTCCACTGCATTTTTCTAGTAAGTAACTTTCAGGGCTAAAGATTCTGATCCACAAAGCAGCATCCTTCTTCAGTCTTCTCGCCAGATCTTTTTTTATTTAATATTCATTTATTTATGCATACAAGAACTGGGTTACAGACCAGAGGTGCAGAGGGTAAGAGGATTCACCAGAGACAGAGTGGGGAGCAGAACAGGCAGACTGACAGAAATACACTGCTGAGGGGAGACAGGAGAGGTCTGCTGCACCAGGTGGGTTAGCTCCTTGGCCTGGGATCGAACTTGTGCTGCAGTGGCTGCAGAAAGCTTCATAGTGCTGAGACTTAACCCCTTGCACCACCAGGGAGGACCCTCCCCTGATCTTTTTGACATGGACTGTCCTCACCATCTCCTTGCCACGTACATGGAGATTTATTTCTTTAGCTAGTTTACCCATCCTTGGAAAATGTGAGAACAAAACAACTTTTTTGTGGGAGTTAAGTCAGGGAAGGGAATGGATACATGGGTATAGGATATAGGTCAATCCCATTGTAATTCGACTGTGGTTTTCATTGTTAGCACAGCTCACCCAGGCTCTAAAGATGCAGATCTTCCCCTGTATTGGTGTGTGTCATGGACTGAAGGCTGCAGTGTCTGTTTATGTTCACTGTAAAGTAGCTTAATGGTCTTCCTATGGTGTCTTTAAATGTTAGTGGTGATAATAGCTTTAAGAAAAATATACTAATTTCTGTCTTTTTTTCAGGGTCTCCCTTCTTGTTTCACGATTTCAAGAAGACGTCACAATACACTTAATTTGTTCACACTTACTCTTCAGAACTGTCATTATGAAATGTTTCCACCACATATCCTTTCAGTCGTAGCCTATGATTTCCGTTCACCCCTTTACTCCAACTTCCTGTGACTTCGAGCTGAATGGAATGATTTGGTGTGTATACTGTTTCACGAACAGGCAAGAATCATTTATTTCAATGTCTGTGTTAGGACTTTGGGACTGACTAAATTGAGGGGTTTTTGCCCTAGATTTCTCATGTGGTTTCACTCAAATGAGGGACTTTTGAGGGACTGATTTCATCTGATGTCTGGATTGAGATTAGAGGTTCTAGTTCGGTCATTCTAATAAAAGTCTCTCTTGCCCACATATCCCTTGGGAAGAGTACTCCATACTTCTCAGGCACTATACTCCCCATCATCATTCAGGAAATATATCCCCTTCTTTGAATAAAGGCCATCAAACTCATTAGTAAATTGCTTTATTTTTGTCATTTCCCATGGGATCTGCCTCTCCTCTTCTACCTCCAAATATAGCACTTGGGCATGTGGATTATTTTGAGCTGAAGGCAATTAAGCATAATGCTTTATTTTTTTAAAAAAGATTTTTTTTATTTATGCATACAAGAGCTGGGGTACAGGCCAGGGATGTGGGGGGTGAGAGGATTCACCAGAGACAATGGGGAACAGAACAGGCAAATTGACCAAAGTACACTGCTGAGGGGAGCAGCAGGCGAGACAGGAGAGGAGTGCTGTGCCATGTGGGTTGCTTCCTGGCCAGCCAGGGATCGAACTCATGCTGCAGAGGCTGCGGATTGCTTCATAGTGCAGTGTTTAACCCACTGCGCCATCAGAGAGGCCCTTCTTTTTTTTTTCAAAGAATTTATTTTATTTATGCATACAAGAACTGGGGTGTAGGGCAGAGATGCAAGAGATGAGAAGATTCACCAGAGACAGAGTGGGGAGCAGAACAGGGGGATCTGCTGAAATACACTGCTGAGAGGGAGCAGCAGGCGAGGCAGGAGAGGCCTGCCACGCCATGTGGGAGTCTTGCCGGCTGGCCGGGATCGAATCCGCACTGCAGAGGCTGTGGACAGCTTCACAGCATTGCGCTTAACCGCCTGCACCACCCAGGGAGATCTGTCTTTACTTTTCTTTTTCTCTTTGCAACATCATTTTACCACGTTATTCTTGGAAGTTTTAGGCATCCTTGACTTGTTGACTCTTGAATCCCTACTTCTCTGTGTAAGATATTGAAGGACTAAACATAGCAAGACAGCAGCCATTTTAAGGAAGACGACCATTCTGAAGAGCACAGCTGAGCCCAAGTTTCGTTTCAGGGTAAAACTACAAGAACCACAAGGCAAGGGTAAACAAAACTTAAAGGTTGTCAAAGAAAAGTACCCAATCAGATTGAGCTTGGTCCCTGTTGTGAAAGGTCCCCTTTTTCTGATATGAAAGGTCCCCTTTTTCTGCTGTCAACAAAGTATAAAAAACAGCTTGTCACCCTTGAAGAGGTCCTTCTCTCAACCTGATGAGGCTGCTGAGTCAGTACACCAGGCAGAGTCGGACCCTAGCTTAAGCTAGCAATAAAGCCTTTTTGCTTTTGCATCTCTGGCTTCGTGTAGTTTTTGGGAACCCCAGACAGAGTTGAGGCGCCAACTCCTAACATTTTGGGGGCTCGTCCGGGATACCCAATTACTGCACGAAGTGGCCAAAGAAAGTCTCAGGCCGGAGGAGGACATCTGATTCCTGGTATATGGGCTCCCTGGGTCAGGCGGACGCGCCATACTACCAGGGGCACGGGGTTTGGAGAGACGTCTCAAACCCGCGACGGCCCACGCCCAGGGAAATTCAGATTTTTCTGGGGCGTATGAGGCCCAGTTCCGACAAGGAATCCGGAAATCTGGGGCTTACGAGGCCGTCAGGCTCCCACGGTTTTTCCGGAGCCGGTTCCGACGGTTTTTCTGGAACCCGTCCTGAGGCTCAAGCCTGGACGGGGAGGCAAATTTGGAAAACAATCACTGTCCTCTCCCATAAGCCCGAGTGCCTGTTTCTGTTATCTGTGGTCTTCAGTTTGTGTCTCATGGGAATTGTTGTCCCTGTCTTGTTTTTCTTTCTACAGGATGGGCCAGGGACAAACCACACCATTGTCCCTCATGGTGGACCATTTCTCGGAGGTCCGGGTGAGGGCCCAAAACCTTAGTCTTGATGTTAAGAAAAGGTTACTGATCACTTTCTGTTCCAGTAAATGGCCAACTTTTACTGGCATCCAGTGGCCAAGTGGAGGATCCTTAGACCTCGCTGTCGTTCAACAAGTCAAAAAGCGAGTTATGGCTCTTCACCCTGATCAAATTCCTTATATACTTTTGTGGGAAAATATTACTACCTTTCCCCCTGAGTGGTTGCAACCCTTTGTTCCTCGACTTGCCCTAGCAGCCGAACAAGGAAAAACCCTTGTTTGTCTGGCACAACAAGAAGGGCCCAAAAAGCCTGTCCTCCAAAATTCTTCCTATCCCCAGGATATTGATGAGAGCCTTGAGTCTATGACGCCTACGGCTCCACCTCCCCCTTATCCCGCCTTAGACCCAGAACCCGATCCTGAGCCTCTAATTCCGGATCCCGAGCCAACCCCCGCCCGGCTCCCCTGTGGGTGCCCGGACAAGACATCGCCAGCCGGGAAGGGAAGGAACTGACCAGAGAGGGCGACCCGATCAAACCATAGTGGCCCCATTAAGGGTAGTGGGCCCAGTGGGTGAGAACGGCCAGCAAAACCTCCAAAACTGGCCGTTTTCAACCTCCGATTTGTATAATTGGAAACATCAAAACCCTCCCTTCTCTGAAAATCCTAGGGGACTTATTAACCTCCTTGAGTCCATTCTTTTCACCCATCAGCCTACTTGGGATGATTGCTTGCAGCTAATGAGAGTTCTCTTTATCACGGAATAGCGGGACAGAAATTTTGGGGGAAGCCTGCCGTCAGGTCCCAAGGGGGCCGATGGGAGGCCGACCCAGGATCAGGCAGTCATCAATCGCCACTTTCCCACGGAAAGACCTCAGTGGGATCACAATACGCCTGAAGGTGGGGAAAATCTCCGAATCTATCGCCAGACTCTTATGGCTGGTCTCTGCGCCGCAGCGCGCAAACCCACCAATTTGGCCAAGGTAGGAAATATACGTCAGGGGGTGACTGAGACCCCGGCTGCTTTCCTGGAGCACATAATGGAGACATTTCGACAGTTTACTACCCTAGACCCTGAGTCAATTGAGAGCCGCGCGGCTGTTACTATGGCTTTTGTAAATCAGACAGCCCCAGACATTAAAAGAAAACTGCAGTCACTAAATAGGTTGGGGGAACGCCCAATTCAGGAATTATTAAGGGCAGCTAAAAAAGTTTATAATAAAAAAAAGTCAGAAGAAAATAAACAAAAAAGGTTAAGAGCAAAACAAAGGGAGCGAAAAAATAAAATAAGGGCAAAGGACAAAAAAATCCATACAACAAAACAAACAAAAAAAAAAAAGACAAAAATTCTGTTAGCAACCGTGGGCGACTGGGCCCAAAATAAAACTTCCGATGGAAGTAGGCGACTGACAAGACAGGGACAGGGATCCAAACGCTCCCCTCTCAAGTGGGACACAGATCAATGCCACCAGTGCAAAAAATATGGACACTGGGCGAAAAATTGCCCGGCAGTAACAAAACAGGAAAATAACCCAAAATCTGCCCCCGTTCTCCTGGCCGGGACAGCTGCATCAGATGATAGTGACTAGGGAAGTCGGGGTTTGGTTCCTCTCCCTGAGCCCAGGGTAACTCTCAAAGTGGAGGGGAAGGATGTGGACTTTCTGGTTGACACAGGAGCTCAATACTCAGTTTTACTGACAGATGGAGGAAAACGTTCCGGCCGCACTACCTGGGTCCAGGGCGCTACTGGATCCAAACTATACGACTGGACTACAACCTTGCCTCCCTCCCATCAGTGGTATACTGTGTTAGATCTCAAGGATGCCTTCTTCTTCATTCCACTGGCACCTAAAAGTCAAAAATTGTTTGCTTTTGAGTGGGGAGACCCAGATACTGGCTTGTGTGAACAGCTGACCTGGACTAGACTGCCACAGGGTTTCAAAAATTCACCCACCTTGTTTAATGAAGCCTTGGCTCGAGACCTGATGCCCTTTCGTGGCAGTCACCCCCACCTAACTCTTCTTCAATATGTAGATGATATCCTCCTAGCTGCCTCCAACCAGGAGTTATGCATCAGTGGTACAGAGGAACTTCTCACCACCTTGGGGAAGCTGGGTTATCGGGCCAGTGCAAAAAAGGCTCAAGTCTGCTGTCAGCAGGTTACCTATTTGGGGTACCGACTCAAGAAGGGAAAGCAGTGGCTCACTGAGGCCATGACGCGCACTATCCTGGACATTCCTCTGCCCACAAGCAGGCATAAGGTACGAGAATTCCTTGCTCTGTGGGTTATTGCAGACTCTGGATCCCTGGGTTCGCAGAGATTGCGAGACCATTATATGAACTCACCAAAGAAGGCAGCTCCCCAAAGGACCCATTCTCCTGGGGGGAGGCTCATCAACAGGCCTTTGACTCTCTTAAATTGATCCTTCTGACCGCACCAGCTCTGGCCTTGCCAGACCCAGAAAAGACTTTCAGTTTCTTTGTGCATGAAAAAAACGGCATTGCCAAGGCAGTATTGACCCAAACCTTAGGACCCTTGTTAAGGCCAGTAGCTTACCTTTCAAAAAGTTGGACCCAGTTGCAGCAGGGTGGCCACCGTGCTTGCGTATCATCGCTGCAGCAGCAGTTACTCTGAAAGACGCCGATAAACTCACCCTGGGACCACAGGTGATGGTGGCTACCTCCCATGCCTTGGAAGGTGTGTTGCGTCATCCTCCGGGTAAGTGGATTAGTAATGCCCGGTTGCTTCATTACCACAGCTTGCTCCTAGATGCACCCCGGGTTCTGTTTAAGTCTTCCTCAGGTCTCAACCCTGCCACCCTACTGCCAGACCCGGACATGGAGGCGGAGATCCACCCTTGTCAGGAAGTTCTGGCCCAGGCAGCAGGGGTCCGCCCTGATCTGCGAGATACACCCCTGTCTGCAGCTGACCTTGTTTGGTCACTAATGGCAGCAACTTTACTCTGGAGGGGCGTCGATGGGCTGGGGCGACAGTGGTTAGTTCGGACTCAGTAATCTGGTCCCAGTGCCTTCCAAATGACACCTCGGCACAAAAAGCAGAATTGGCTCTGACTAAGGCCCTACGGCTGGCAGAGGAACAAAGTTTAACTGTGTACACAGACAGTAGATATG